AGCTATTTCTTTCTAGCATGGGACTCCTTGGCAGTGCACACCTATTGGATTCCATCCCTGGAGGAGCAGTGTCATGGGTGCGCAATGCTGAGAAGCCCCATACTAAAACGGAACAGATATCCAATGCTCCCAGGTTTCCATTGTTCTACCAACTGATGTCAGTCCATGATGAACACTAATTTGACAAAGATCTCTAAATCCCTACAAACCCAAAAATCTAATTCAGGAGGTCTGGGAACCTCGTCACAAATGCAGCCGATCGACGAACGGAATTAGGGAATATAATTGGTGTTTCACACCTCAATAACTCTGAAAGTATTGTTTAGAAGACTAAACACTATGAGCATAAAATCAAATGATAACCCTTGCACTAGCACTGTAATTCTGCCTTCCATCCCAGCTTTGAATAAAGAATTAGGAATGATGAAAAGTACTCATTTGGTCATTGAAAAAGAGGTTACGTCGGAGATAATTCCGTTTTCGATGACTCAATATCATAACAGTACGTTTGTAAAACGTATATATATATATATATATATATATATATATGGGATAAAATGATGTTACACAACGCAAGACATTATCTCAATAGTCCTTATAAATGCACCCAACATTAAGATTTGTTATCTAGTAAAATAACATAAAATAAACAAATATGCAAAGTATCGTATTAAGGTGATGGTAAAGAGTGTTTGTGCATATCTATTGTGAATACACAATTGAGGCTTGAAACTGTAGAATTGCCAAACAATTTCAGCTGCATATAAGTGTCTAATCCTTACCCTTTTTGAATGAGACTTCCAGATGTCCAACGTGTTTGACGATACAGTTGTGTACGGTATTTTGCTCACCCTAAAAAACCAGGCTGGATAATGTTCACCTGACTTTATATGTTGGTCAGTCACCCGTCGCCAGTGGATGGGTCTTTAAATGAAAATCTCAAACCTCCTCTGGAGTGTGACGTCGAGTTTAATTCAGCTCCCAGTGTAAATTTGACTGAAGGGTAGCTGTCGTTGAAATTTTGAAGGTGTGTCAGGTTCACGCTGTCCTCACAAACAATGGAGGTATCGTCCATGCACCTTATGTGTGCCTGAGGTCGACTGGTTGGCGGAAACAATGTATTTGTCATGAAGCAGTCGGCAAGTGGAGGCCCAAGAGTCGATCCTATAGCTACGCCACCATTTTGTCATTTAATCTGAAGTGAGTGCTAAACGTAGATCTTAGGAGTTTTTTTCAGGTAGTGGTTTGGCAGGTCAACCATCTAGATTTCTGGACTGGATGAAGTTGCATAGGAAATAGATTGTTTCTGTTAACAACATCTAATGAAACCATTCTTATTCTGAACAGAATAATATCCTTGAATGTATTCAAATGCACTGTTATCTTTACAAGTTCAAGAATTCCCACGAATCATTCTGTAATTGCTTAGTATGAAGAGTTTACCTTGTACAGTATTGGAACTGATAGGGATGGCAACTTCGTGTACTTTTGGTAAACTGCAAAAAGGGTGAGGTTGTTGTAGAGACCATTGCTAATGATTGATTCATCTTTTACTTTCTTCGGTAGTTTAGAGTGTGGCTTTCCTGCATGCTTGGTTGGATCTTTCTGATAAAATAAGTGAAATCTTGTCAACATAATCTCATTTATTCAGTAATACTATCCTAACGCATTTATCTGGGAGGATTATGATGAGATTTTTATTTTTATGGAGTTCTTCTAATTGATTACGATGCTCCTTTGGCAGAGCTTGCCGGCTATTGGGCACTTGAGACAGCAATACATTTGAAATTATCAAGATCATTACTGGATGTTGCTATCAGAATTCTTTTCTGACTAATCAACTCGAACTGAACTTTTATATCAAGTTCATCGATTTTGAAATTGAAACCACACTACTAAGGGCCAAGGGATAAGGCTTGTAGCTAAATAAAAGAGATGTAGTTGAATACATACCTTTCAAGTGAACGGGAAAAAAATGCTTCAACAGTGACAGGCTTTAGGCTCTTTCTTAGCTTCATGGCAACATTTTCAATTCGTTTCTTATTGATGCTAGCAACCTGATCATCAAATTCATTTTTTATTCGATCCATAATTCATATAAAACGCAAGATATCTGTGATATGTTGCTTTTGAGTCCTAGTAGACCAGAACGGATGACATCGATATGATTCAGACCATGCTATTTCAAAGTTTGTGAATAGGGAAGGATATGGTTACGCTGAAGATTCTTTCAAAACTTTTTTGGATACTCACGAATATCAACACACTACTTGAGGAAATAAATTTTCGCATTTGACTTGGCAGTCTTTACGGCAAAACGCAGAAACCCACCTAGTTTGTTGACCACTAAAAGGCTCTTGCAATTCTTGAACGATGAAACTGGATGTATGTCGAGCGATATCGTGAACCGACAGAAGTAAGAAATATGAGCCATTAGGGTCCGACCCATTGGCTCAATGGTAACGTGCTGGCCACGGAACCTCAAAGTGTTGGGGTCCGGTCCCTGGCAGGGCTATAGCTTAGTATTGCTGAAGAGTCACATACTAGGACGAAAATGCTGTTCGGTGCTACAATTGATGTCAGTCTATGGTGAATTCCATCCTAGGATAGATTAATAATATATCCCCACATAGAATTCTTGAAGTGACACAAAAACTCCATAGGTTTATTGAGAAGCAAAAAATTACAGCGAAGATAATCGGTAGATACCATGTGCAATGCGTTTTATCAGAAGTATTACGATCATGTCTTGTGTTACGTAGCATCATTTCGTTCCCTGTCATACATCTGTTGAGTAAGTTTGCTCCAGAACTTGTTTGAAAAATTCTATCATTCTACTTAAACTATGAATGACTTCGAAGAAAGTTTCTGATTACGTTTCCAATCAAACAACGAATAATCACTTCGCAATGCTTTAGTTCACAATATAGATAGAATTTCTTCCAATTATACACAGATATGTATACAGTTCAGGCTATGTCGAATGTGATGCCTATTATTCTGGCGAAGTATTCTGCGAAATGCTTATTCCCGCTGAAAAGCATACAAGTTAAACAAAACAACCTCGAAATAATTCTATTGGTGCTGTGCTTCATATCAAGAAAACTTTCCAACCTACCAAGAAAGATGACGATCTGAGGCATTTCACTGAGTAACAAACCTAGATGCACTTAGCAGGGAGGACAACCAAACCATCACATCAACCTGGACGGTTATAAGTTGTACACAGGAACCGTAATTAAAGTATTCACGCACACACACAAACACATTACGTATTGAATTCCTGATTCATACAGCACAATTACAGATGTACGCCCTTCCATTTTAAACCTATTGATGACGATAGTATACAATTTCAGTTTGTTATCTGTGTATATATATGAGTAACATTATGTGATTTGTTCTCACATACGATAACTAGTACACCTTCGACTCCCGGAAGATGTGGAACGTCCAAAGTTCGTCGATACCTGTTGTTGGCAGATTTAATCAATTTCAACACAATCTTGTTTCCTTATCTGACGTTTTTAAAATAATATTTAACCTGACTTCATTACAATGAAAAGCGTAAGTAGTTTAGATGTAAAACAGTTTTCGTAACAATAGTGTGCAATGCTGAATTGTCGTCAACTTATACAGCGATCGATTATTGACACAAGACCTACACACCATGATTACTGAATAATCGAAATTGAGAAGTGACGAGATATATACAGTACTCTTAGACTAGGCCGTTAAGTTTGTCATAACCAAGGAACAGTTATGAGAGCGAATTACCACAATCCTACGAATTCCAGTCTGTAGTGAACCGAGAAGACTGAACACTTATTACGCGTAGACAAAGCTGTGCTAGTCAGATTTCCATCAATTTTCTGATATCTGGCAATTGTTATTCCTTAACCTGGAAAATTGACATTTAACTTCATCAAATCGAGAAATCTTGCGATGGCGTCCACCAATGAAATATGATACTGAATAATTTCATCAAAATACACTCAGCAACCTTGTGGACATTTGTACAGTAGGCGCAATGAGTCACAATTATTGTATGAGGACTAGTGATACCCCCTGGTTATTCAAAGCAGGGCTCAAACTTGTGACCCATTAGTTGAAAGACATCTCCATAAGCCAACGATGCACAGCTTCGTACAGAATCAAGTATCCACTTAGGAACTTTATCATGCCACATTCTTCAAGCTATCGATAGTTTAAACATCACACACCACAGATAGCGTGTAAAAAAATGAATTTAAATCATCCATTGGAGAATTTTTAGTCAACTGAGTAAAGTTTATACATACACTCACATTATTACTACAGCTGGCTCACCAACACCAATGAAACATTAAAACAAACAATAATCGAACACTACTGAATACAGTTAATTAACACAATATATATGTAATGATAGTAAGGTGGAAAAAAACATATTTATATAAAGCAAGACTTACATATTTGAAATAAATGAATAAAAAACTAAAGAATACAATAATCTCTCTCTTCAACTATGAGACGATAGTGGACAAAACTCTTCTATGCATACATTTTCCACCCGATGGTACCAAGCCAGTCATCCATGCGTAGCTGTATTGATATTATTATTATCGTTGGTTGTAGTAGTAATAATAATAATAATAACAAACAAGAGCATAATACATTGAATCTCATACAAGTAAGCAAGTTAAGCGATAAACGGAGTGAATTTGACCCGGGGGATTATGTAACATCTGGCACATGTGTATGTGTACAAGAGAATGTAATCATTATTAACATTTCGTGTTTTTGTAGAAGAAAATTGTGCAATAATAATGATAGTTATTTTTTAACATTGAAAAAGCAAAGCAAAATAAACACACATGAATAATTAATCGCAGCTATATATATATATATATATATATATATATATATATATATATATATATATATATATATATATATATATATATATCAACATAAATGATAAATCCAAAGAAATATTTACAACAGATAAAGCCAACTTTTTACGATGATGATGAATACGAGGCATCCGATTCTAATTGAGTTGCTAATATTGTATCCATAGTAACATTTGGTTGTTCAGTTTGCACATTGAAGAATCCACTAGTCGATAAATTTCGTCGAGTATCACTACTAGTACTACTACTGAATACTAATTGGTTGTTGTTAGTTGTCTCGAAAGTCAATTTCTCTTCAACTGGTTTCTCTGATAAAATCATACAAGAATTGGTAATCTCATTCAACTCAGGTTTCACTTCTTGTCCAGTATTTAATGTTTTATCCTCGTTGGGAAAATATCCACAACTAGTATGTTTCACTAGCCAATCAGCATGAAATTTATGCCATTTTGCTGGAGAGTATTTTCGAGAAACCTACGAGTTCGAAACATTGCAAAACAACCAGATAATTCATAATTATGACTTTTATCAAAAATTACTTGATTGAATTAATGAATAAATAGTCTGACTAATATGTTCAAGTCAAGACTCAAAGCACATTATCCTGTTATCAACGAAGAAGAGTTGGGGAAAATATCATAGGGACCGACTGCGTTTTGATTGAACAGAGTCAATCTATAAGGTGAATAGTTGAAAATGCTTACACTAGATGTGTTGTAGACAACTAAGTTTTTATCAATAGCTTAAACACGTGCATGGATGCCTGTTCGTACAGCAGACCGTTAGTGTGTGGAATAAGATTGCTATAATCTTTATAAAAAGTACTAAATCCTTGAAGCTTTCTACAACTAATCAGGTTCCACCAAAGTTTCAAGAGAAAGTATGTGAACTAACGTGTAAATATCAGATTGGTTGAAAGAATTTTGAAAAATAACCAGAGTAAACACTTCGCCAATGAACATGGCGGAGATAAAAATGAGTTCAAGAAGCCATCATGTTACATTGATGGATGACAATGATAGCGACCCCCTTCCTATCACCCATCAGGTAATAAATGATACCAACATTCGATCAGATCATGCTAATGAAGATCACCAAGTACTTGACATAAGTGTTCAACATGATGAAGCATGTTTAGTGCGATCCAGCCTTTCTAAAACTAAATTCCATACTGCATATTCAAGAAATGTCATTAAGCAGTACCGTTGTGAGTAAGCATCAACGTCGGTTATTACGCAGGTACTCAGAAGGATTCAAAGCCCCTGCACACATATATCAGGGGAGATAGTTACTTTCGTGACAGTGGATTACCATATCAGAAATAACTTATATCTATACGGGCAAATGGAGACCAGGAGGATTGAGAGGACGCTGTATCCCCCACACCTCGATAAGTCCAGTAGTGTTGGAATGAGGTAAATAATACTCAAACTAAAACTTAGATGTAACAAACACTAAGCCTAATAGTCCTTAATCTTTTATACAAGGATTTATTAGGTCAAATTTCTTACTATTTTGAGAATAGAGAGGAAAAACTTACGAATACTCTTGAATTTTAAAGCGATAGTTTGATATGACAAAAAAATTCCAAATTATTGTCTCATGAAAGCAAACTTTTGGTTGGTTTGTGTTACACAAGGGATATACTAATCAACACTGCTGTTCAACTTACCCCAAATTAATAGTAATTTTGAAATTGTAGTTTATGCCCCATAATAAAACGCTAGTAGTTCTCCTGTACTTGATACAACGGTGTTGGAAACATAACGCGCAACGAGATATGATATCCAAATACCGGTTAAAAGTTCATTCGTGTGCAGTAACAGTCAGCAACTGATGTCGCATGTGGCTTAATTCAATCACTGAGTATTAAAGTGATCTCTCCAACAAGCACATCTTTTCCCATACTTCACACCTAACTAATCACTACGTCTCATATTATAGCTGCAGTTTATTATCATTTGATTGGACCGAACTGATCACCAACCAACAGTATACGAGCTTCGATTCTGCAGGTTTATTAAGTCTGATAGTAATGACGGATAGCGGCTAGCAAAATTACAGCTAAATGAACCTTGAGACAATATAAGTATCTGTATGTTAACCGAAAGTGATCGATTCGTTTCAGTGCAGTAATCAACGGTAAATAACAAGGACTGAACATAAATAAAACGTGGTACCGTTACACAAGAAGTAACTCCTGAAATTCAGTAGCCTAGTGGATAACAATGCTTCAATGTTCAAACAAATGGGTGCTCGACTTCCATCTCAATGAAAACAATATTACTCACTGACAGATAGATACATTCAGTCGACGGGTCGGCGGCATGTTTGAACTTAAAATTGCCAAGAAAATCTTTCACCGTACACATTATGTTGAGTGGAACTGTGGCTCATCGGTTTACGGATATAACTTCTAACCGTCAAGTAACTAATTCTACCCCACCCCACCCCACTTATCAAGGTTTGAGCACAGCCAGGTGGTATCATTAGCCATCACACACCACACGAATGTGTACTAAGCTGCTGAGTGCATTTTATTCATTCATATTACATCAAAACTAGAGTTTCCAATCCGTTTCAATCTTATAAATGTCGTATAAATGTAACATATACTGTCCTGTAACCCAATTTTAAAACGTCTTCAACCTGCCGTTTGGCAAGTTAACAATAAAATGAAGAAAAAAGGAACATCATGATAGATGACAATGGACTTTAAGACGTGCAACACTACTCCTGAGGACTTATCTTGAAATGTAGATTTTCGTACTGGTTGGATTACCATCCCCAGTGAACTTTGTATCCACTCCACCCGAACCCACCTCCTCCCCACTCCTTTGACTTAGATGGCAACCTACCAACAGCTGATTGTCTCCTACTATTGCCTTCAATACTGTTGCTGAGATGCTACGGTCATTTGGTTTGAAGATATTTTACAGCAAGTAAATTTGTTGAAACATCATCATCATCATCATTATCAACATAGGACCAGGCATTACTGCCTCACGGTCCGAGTTGCCACACCTCATATCAGCACATCAAGTAAAAAGGTAGTGAGGCGAAGGATGAAGATAAGTGAATGCAGTCAAAAGAAATATAAAGTAAGAGAAGAAAGGAAAGAGAAGTGACAAAATGGTGAGATTCGGTATAGCGTTGTTAAGATGAGGATAATGTGTGTATACATCTGCGCCACTGACATCGGTTCTGAGCCATATCACCTAGGGTCTGCAACCACTGGTTCCTCTTGTCCCGTGGACCCCAACCACCTAGTCTGCATCGTCCTACATGACTTAAACCAACAGTCAGAGACTTCATACATTGGTGCCATGTTTTAGTCTGGCCACCTCGGGCCTTTTTCCAGCCTGAACCCACCTCAGCCAACATTGTGTGACGAGGCAATCGGTGACTAGGCATACGTAGTACGTGTCCCAACCATCTCAGTCGATGAAGGTTCACAACCTCGTCGACTGACTTACCTCTTCTCCCTAAAACTCTACACCTAACTTCTGTATTACTCACATGGTGACACCACGGAATACGTCCTATACTACGAAGGCAACGGTGGTCAAACACCTGAAGCCTTTTTGTATCCTCCACTTACAATGGCCATGTTTCACAGCCATACAGTAGAACAGAGCGGACTGCTGTGCAGTACACGCGACCCTTAGTAGACAAACGAATATCACGGCGGCGCCATAGGTGGCTCAAATTGGCAAAAGCCAATCGAGCCTTTTGTATCCGTGCCGAAATCTCATCGGCAACTAACCCACCGGGGTTGATCCTACTTCGCAGGTAAGTGAAGTGGTCAACACACTCAACCACTTCACTCTCTATTGTTAGCCGCGGTGGGGGACCGCTGAAGACCAGTCCTGGAGCAAAAATTTACATTTGGGTGGTGAAAATCGCATCCCAAACATTCTCAAATTCCCACTCAAAGTGTTCAGAAGACTCTACATCTAATCGGTCAGCGTCTTCACCTAACAGGACTATGTCATCTGCATATTTTAGATCTAAGGAAAATTCACCTGTGATCGGGTCAACGTCTGTGTTATCAGGTGACGAGGGGAAACCTCCATAAGAATATCTATGATAAAATTAAATAAGAATGGGGATAGTGGGCATCATTGACGGACACCACTTGATGAGTATAGCTCCCTGGACAACTCACCATAGGCTCTAACATGCCCACAAGTGTTCTGAAACATCATATGTTGAGAATTTCATACTGTAGTCTTGAATAAAAGTTATTTTTGTTATTGCTACGACTATACAAAGAAATGTATGTCCTGATAGCCACTGCTGAAAATTGCTAATAATTACATCGATAAAGAAAAAAAGAAAAGAATTTCAGTAGCAGTAACGAATCTGACCAGAAGTGGATATCAAATTCACGGTAAAGTCACGCCGGTGAGTCAACAGCGCCCGTATTGCACAGTCACTCAGTATTCCAGCATCAAAGATTACATAAAACTTGAGAAAGTGGCAACTATGAACAAAAATAAGCTTTCCATGGGGGGAGATTAATTCAAATTAATCCTTTACACTTACCCGTTTACGATACCGGATAAAAATTCCATACGAACCGACTGACCAGTTTATCTTGTGATTACGAGTAACTTTTCCAGCATCTAGACATTCAGTGGAATGCATACAATCACTTGAAAATGTATCACGGAATAGCTATAAAAAAGGGAGGGGGAGGAAAGAAAGTATGTCAATCTAACTGTAGGTCACAAAATAGGCTAAAAGTTTTAAATCTGTTGTTTAGTCATTCAACCACAGAATGTATACTTAACCAGCGAAATGAACCATTACAACACAACACACTGAAGAGAATCACGTATGACTAGCATTTAAATAGTACGTTTGTTTCGTCCTACTTGGGACTCGTCAGCTGGATGTGCCTGCACCTCGGTGCAGAGTAGTGTTGTTTCCACTGAGACTCGAACCTCGTACCAATCGATTCGTCCAGTTGACGAGCCCAAAGTGAGACGAAACGCGCGCCCTGGATTCTTCTGCTAGCCACAACCAAGTGAATTATCATAACTAACATTCAGGCAATATCGAGGCATTCGCATAGGAGCCCATATGTCAATAGAGGTCAAACAATTCGATCCAATAAAATAACGGCAAATAAAAGTACATCAATAAATAGTAATAGAATATTTGTCGTACGAGGAAAGGGTAATAATAATATATTCTATTTCTGAATGTTTCTCGACACAAAAGGTAGATGAATGCTCAGAATGAAATGTTCTTTACACCAGAGTTTAGGTTGGCAAATGTTTCGAAGTCACGTTAAATATCATTATCAGTGCGTTAGAACTTCCTTGTGAAGCATCATACAAATAAATACTCACTACAATTCGTAGATCAATATATCTACTAAAAGAATGAATGAATTATGATACATCCTTATTCACAAATTTATACTTTTCAACGTTCTCTGGACTTAAAATAAAATATCTCTAATTGGATGACAATGTAGACGAAGAAAAAGAGTTATATGATGAGTACACTAGTGATCAGAAAAAAAGGTTTTACGTACACAAAAAAGTCAAAAACGAAAGCTGGGACAACTATATTCAGAGAACCTTATCTTGTGCCGATTTGAAGGAAGTGAATCCAGTTAGGTAGACTTTTTTGTAACAATTAGTCCCTTTGATGAATTTGTATGCCGTGTTATAAGAAGACGCGAAGGTTATCTGAGATATGTGCGATGTATTTTGCGAAATATATTTCACACAATGCGGTTACACATTTATTTATCAATGCATTTTATATAAAGGATGAAAATAGGATGGGTTAAAATAAATAAAGACAATACAAGATTTGGAAAAAATAGGGATAATTAGAAGGAATAATACACTTTCACACCTCGTTTAGCATAAGAGTGAGAGAATGATTACCAAGGTAGGTAGCTCCTACCATGACGTGGTGGTCAACCTTGCATATAACAATGACTCAACGAGCTATGATGGTGGGACACTTGTTCCCTCGAGGTCCTACCATACCAGAAAGGTGTGTTGGATAGTGGTAAGACGAAAAGTGGTTACCGTTGTGGTGTAAATTACACTACAGTATAATGGGGGTCTGAGGGCGAAGTCGTACTATTGCTAGCTGGATGGGGTATGTCAGCAGTAAGGTGTTTCACCTGGACGACCAGGAGTGTCATGCTGCTGTTGCCTTCTCAGTGGAAGGGGGGCGGGAGTCAGAAAAAGTCGGCCCCAAACATAACACAATCCATCACAACTTACGGTTTGCCAGGCCGGTGGTGTTCGTTTATTTCACGTTTCTTCTCGACCATACGGCCACAAAACAGCATTATTTAAAAACAACCATACACAAAAGGCTGCATGTGACAACCCTCAAGCAGACGTCCGATGGGCTCTGCGGTCACACAAATCTCTTTCAGGTATCTTAAGAAGAAATAGCCTTCCACGGTGTGGGCAACCAGGAAATATCAACCGCCCTCACAACTCTGTCAGCACTCAAGTTTCCTCAGACTGCTATCCACCTCCCTTAACATTACGTTATAATCTTCCTTCAAGTCTCTCAATTAACGATACTTCATCTTCAATTTCTTCTAGCTGTGTAGCCGTGGACAACGATCTGAATCCACAGAACAGCATCACTGGTCTCCTTAAACTATATTCCAAATTACACTTCGGGACCTTCAATGTGCGCACCCTCCGTCAAATTGGTCAACAGGCTTCATTGGCCAAGATTCTAGCAACTCGGGCCATAGATGTGTGCTGTTTTTGTGACACGCATACAGGTTTCAATTGTGGACACTACAAAAGGAGACGACTGAGTCGAATACTTCAAAGAAGAGTTCAATTGGCCTCCAGTTGTGTTGCCCGCTATCCAGTCGGATCCTGAATAGAACACCGAGATATGAACCCCAAGTCCAGAAAGTGGTAGGCAACCTGAAACCAAGAAACGCAGCAGTGCCAGACGAACTGGTACCACAGGTATTGAGCAATAATGGTACAGGATCATTGGTCAAACTAATTAGACTATTAACTAGTGTATGTGGGTCAAATATGATCCCCTCTGATTAGTCTCAATCGCTGGTTGTCCCAGTCTTCAAGTAAGGTGAAAAACTTTCTTGTGATAACCACAGAGGAATCGACCTGACGAATATAATGTTTAGGGTTCTATAATTACCAGACATCTGATTGAAGCTTAGGTCAAATAAACCCAAGAAATCGAGACAGGATTTAGACCTATTTGTGGATGTATCGACGAGATATTGACTCCCTCAGGTTATGGAAAACAGGAACATCTATTGAAGCCAGATATTAGCTGTATTTCCCGACCTCAAGACGACGTTCAACTCCCTTAATCAATAGGTCTTGCGGCAATACCTCCCACCGAAAAGGGTGGTGGGTAAGTACATCCCTCTGCTGGAGACTCTGTACTTCAATACACGTGCGCGTGCTGCAGCCTATGGTGAGCTATCAAGTGGGTACGCCGAGCGATGTCTGCTATGTATACTAGCTCGAGAAGGCTTTACGTCTTCTTGGCATAGAACGTCTATTCTGATATCACTATGTCAGTAGCCAAAAGAGGTTAGTCAGTTGACGGAAATGTGAACTTTCATCAACTGACATGAATGGAAAATGTGTTACTTATGCCAAGTCACCGTATGTCCCATTACACAGTGTTAGCTGAAGTTGGCTCAGATTAAAAAGAGGTTAGAAGTAGCCAGGTCAAAACATGGCATGTATCCATAAAGTCTTTGACGGTCAATCTGAATTGAGTACGGTAATGTGGACTTTCTGGTTGGGATCCATATGACAACAGACATCAGTGGCTGGAGATTAACTCTGAGTGATATGGTTCAGAATTAATCTCATTGGCGCAGATTTATCCATATATTATCTTCATCTCAATTACAATGCTGAATTGCATTCCTTTTTATTCTTTTAGGACGACTTTCTACCACTTTTTTTTATCTCATCACATTCTCGCTTAAAGTGCCGATATAAAAAGTGGCAACTTGAATCGTTACACAGTAATCGTAGGTACCATGTTTATCCTATCTATCTAATAGTGAATACGAAATGTAAAAGACATACCTCTCGATGTGTGAGATCGTTTCTGAAGACACGGATCATGAACTCCCAAACATCTCGTTCAAAGTTAGATGTGCTAGACGTTTTTAATTGTTCTTGTTCCCCAGAATCATTCATTGAAATTGTTTCCGAAGACTTCTCATTAGTGGAGATTAGTCCTTGCGCTAAAATCTAAAATAAAAAACAAAGTAGTAAACAACTAACTAACTAATGTAATTCAGCAAATCATTTGCAGCAGGTCGATGTAGTAGACAATTGGTCACACACCTATAGTATCATAGCTACTGATACTGCCTAGCTGTCAAAACGTCAGAAGTTGGGGCTTCAAGGGTTATCATTATTAGAAGACAATAAGTCAATAGTCACCAAGGCCGTAAGAGAATGACAAATTGAGCACTATTTATCCAGAGTTACTCAAACGAGATGTTTACACAATTCGGAACTGTATGAATACAAAAATGCAAGTCAGTGTTAACAAGACCACTGGAGTAAATAATTGACATTTTATACCTGAACCATAGGAAATAACTTTTAGAGGAAATGAAGCTTGACCTCTCCAAGCTGACAACTTTGCATCTCTGACCGGCATTGACTACACAGGATCGCTCACACCTAGTGGTAACACCGGGTAAGTAATTCAGAGGTGACATGTGCTTGAGCAGGCTGGAGACCACATCATTCATTGAATGTGGTCGCCTTGAAACATTGGCTTCGATGGTTCACCTATGTGGTATGCATGTTGTCCCACGCCTCTCATATCGTGCATTATTACAACTAGCACCTGTAGGTAACTTAGGTCTCCCTAGATGGGGGTGCGAAGGATCATGTGTGATGGTTAGTGATACCACCTGGCTGAGCAAACCTCAGAAGATGGAACGGGGCTCGAAGTGGAGACCCATAGTCATCTCCCTAAATCAATACGCCACAGCTGCGTGACACGAAAAATCCAAACAAAAATTTATTCACAAAAACTAATTCATGATAAGAGTGAATAAACTCACTTCTTCAGGTTGAATATCTCCTGTATCAAGAATAAGCCGTTGTCTTCGTTGAAGTGCATCACGAGTTAACGCGTTCACACACCTACGAACAGTACGATACAAGAATACTGGACGAATACGCGAATAAATGCTGTGCGGTACACATCCAATAGTCCATGAAAGATGGATTGTAAGATAATCATACCAATGTCGAATAGAAATATTTGATTTTAAATTTTCTTTATGTAGGAGAAATTCATGATCCAAACTGGAAGTACCAACTGATGAGACTTCTAATGAATGAGGAACATAGTTCGTATGACTAGAATACGAAAAACATGCATCATGACTTTTCTCTGGCTCATATTTAATTGCATGAACAGGTTCCATAAGTCGAATAAGCATGGTAGATGCCTCTGAGAGTACAACAATCAAGTAACAATTCGGCCAAGAAGTAGTATTACCACTTAAAGAAGCATTAGTATTACTTTGTCCTGTACTAGGTGAAAATGCATTTCCAGAACTAGAAGCAACATTAAATGAGCCGGTCGGACTAGCAAACGAAGAACAAATAGCCATAGCTTGTGAATGGTAAGCACTTTCATTGGCTAATCGACAAACACGAGTATACAATGGACCACACACATCCCTAGAAAATAATTTTAAGAAAAGTATACAGGGGCATTTTAGAACATAAAACAATGAGGTAAAGAAAGATATCCTAGAAATAACCCTCCCTTTCAATGAAATTTTCATCTCATCCAAAAAGTTTGGTATTTTAACAGCATACAAAGAAAATTACTAACAGCATATAGATTTTTCATTAGCCTAAATCTTCACCATTACGATGAAGCAAAAGATACTAACCGGTTACTAAAACTTCAGTTAATTCAAAGAACATTCTTAACAGCAATGCAAAAAATAGTTGAAGACAGACGCAGAAATCACTGAATCATAATGATTAATCTTGTAGGTAAATAAAATGCAGAGACATAGAATTAAATTTTTCCAACCAGGAGTTTCGAAAAACTATATATCATCAACCAGAATTTTAAGAATATCATACATTAATGAATATAACAATCTTTGGAAGAGTAAGTAGGCACATACGCGTCAAGTCCATGTAGACCTCTTAAAAAAACGTGTCAACTAACACAGCAACTAGATGAAAAGCAGGCAAATATTTCCGCAGTTGCTTTATTTTTTTTTCACGGTCATTAAATCACTGTGCTCCAAACTATCAAAGAACTAGTATTCAAGTACCGATATATCAGATAAGTTTGTAGTTGACTGCTTCGTGAAATCTGATTTGATGTGAGAGTGGAAGGATTATATAAATTTAATTAGCTATATTTCGCTGAGAAGAAACAAATACGTAAACAAAATCAACATAGAACCTAGCACATAGGTCCATCGGCTCAGCTTGCCACAGTTTACAGTAGTACACAATCTCAGCCATGTTACCAACAGTCCTCAACTACAGATTCTCTTCGTTTCGGGGACCCCAACTAGACAGTCTGCATCTCCCAAAACAGCTCAGGTCAACAGTCAGAGACTTCGTCGACTGATGTCGCGTCTTCATCTGGTCAGCCTGAATCCTCTTCAATCTAAATCCAACGTCCCCCAGCATGGCACGCCGATGTAGGCGGTGGCTCGCAGTGGGATACACAGTACATGGTCCAAGCCATCTCAGTCGATGAACGTTCACAACCTCATTAATCGAATTGTCTATCTTGCCTAGTACCCTTCACATGATCTCAACATTGCTCAAACGGTAGTAGGATTCCACCAAACACGAGCGATACTGCGAAGACATCTGTGATCAAAACCCTATAACCGTCTCATATCTTCTACTGTTACCAGCAGTATCTCACAGCCGTACAAAAGAACGAAACAGGTTGCAGTGCAGCATACTCATCCTTTCATTGATAGTCGGATATCTTGTCAGTCGGCGCCAAAGGTAATGCGCAAAACACGGCCTCGTTTATTCGAACTGATATTTCCTTAGCAACTATCCCGTTAAGGTTGAAATATCAAGTATTCAGGTATGGTGTATGATATTACACTGATTGAAAGCTTATTAAAGTGAACGGAATACTTTTAAATACAAACAATAAATATGAACTCACGAATATTGAGAAAAGTTGGAAATAGTATTCATCGATTGAGGGATACGATCACTGTATGTGGAATTTCCTATCCAAGAACGATGTAATGCTGTTAGTCGACGACTTAATTCGTCTCCACTTGCAAGTGCTTGTAATTGACGAACTATATTAATTATGAGACGATCCATTGTAAACCATGGATATGCATAGATACCAAACATATCTCGTAATCGGTCTTCAAATGTATTTATATCTTCACCACCATCTAATAAATCTTTTACTAAATTGAGAGCATGAGAATAATATTGTGATGGTTCAGTGCCGCCTAGATAATCGTAAAATGAAACATTGAAAAATCAAGTTGTAATAAACAATTTCGATCAGTTTTATTAGGTAAAAAAAGAATAAACGAAATTTTTCAAGAGATATTGACAATCATACACATCAAACAGTGAATTCGACTACTGTACAGATGAAACTGACTATTATGTTTATATGAAGGAGAAAATAACATGCAACCAGTTCAAACCTTGAGCTACCACCACCGCCACCACTATCGACTTTATTTCATCAAATTCTTCCCTTTGTGTTTCTTTTAATCTTTTCAATATGCCTTCTAAATGTATCATGTACCTCTTGTATATCTTTAAAATGTTTTCAAATTATCATTTGTCAAGTAAAGAACGAAACGAAGAAAAACGTAACACCGGATGAAAATGAACAGTACTAATATAAGGATACCTATCTCGAACTGTAGATTTTTGAACTGGCCACCAACACGTCATGATGACACCCGATTTTGTATTCATCTTCAAGTTCAGATCAGATGGACATTAGCGTCTCATCTATTGTTAACAACAACAGTTGCTCATTTCACACTAGTGCCTTTAACACACCATTGTTATAAACACCGTTTACACTCAACAATTATTTTAAAAATACTAAACGAGTGTATATATTCACATATTTCCTGTTGAAAATCCCATAACGTAACATACATATTGTCTGGAATAAAGCTATTATTATTATTATTATTATTATTATTATTATTATTAGTAGTAGTAGTAGTAGTAGTAGTAGTAGTAGTAGTAGTAGTAGTAGTAGTAGTAGTAGTAGTAGTAGTAGTAGTAGTAGTAGTAGTAGTAGTAGTAGTAGTAGTAGTAGTAGTAGTAGTAGTAGTAGTAGTAGTAGTAGTAGTAGTAGTAGTAGTAGTAGTAGTAGTAGTAGTAGTAGTAGTAGTAGTAGTAGTAGTAGTAGTAGTAGTAGTAGTAGTAGTAGTAGTAGTAGTAGTAGTAGTAGTAGTAGTAGTAGTAGTAGTAGTAGTAGTAGTAGTAGTAGTAGTAGTAGTAGTAGTAGTAGTAGTAGTAGTAGTAGTAGTAGTAGTAGTAGTAGTAGTAGTAGTAGTAGTAGTAGTAGTAGTAGTAGTAGTAGTAGTAGTAGTAGTAGTAGTAGTAGTAGTAGTAGTAGTAGTAGTAGTAGTAGTAGTAGTAGTAGTAGTAGTAGTAGTAGTAGTAGTAGTAGTAGTAGTAGTAGTAGTAGTAGTAGTAGTAGTAGTAGTAGTAGTAGTAGTAGTAGTAGTAGTAGTAGTAGTAGTAGTAGTAGTAGTAGTAGTAGTAGTAGTAGTAGTAGTAGTAGTAGTAGTAGTAGTAGTAGTAGTAGTAGTAGTAGTAGTAGTAGTAGTAGTAGTAGTAGTAGTAGTAGTAGTAGTAGTAGTAGTAGTAGTAGTAGTAGTAGTAGTAGTAGTAGTAGTAGTAGTAGTAGTAGTAGTAGTAGTAGTAGTAGTAGTAGTAGTAGTAGTAGTAGTAGTAGTAGTAGTAGTAGTAGTAGTAGTAGTAGTAGTAGTAGTAGTAGTAGTAGTAGTAGTAGTAGTAGTAGTAGTAGTAGTAGTAGTAGTAGTAGTAGTAGTAGTAGTAGTAGTAGTAGTAGTAGTAGTAGTAGTAGTAGTAGTAGTAGTAGTAGTAGTAGTAGTAGTAGTAGTAGTAGTAGTAGTAGTAGTAGTAGTAGTAGTAGTAGTAGTAGTAGTAGTAGTAGTAGTAGTAGTAGTAGTAGTAGTAGTAGTAGTAGTAGTAGTAGTAGTAGTAGTAGTAGTAGTAGTAGTAGTAGTAGTAGTAGTAGTAGTAGTAGTAGTAGTAGTAGTAGTAGTAGTAGTAGTAGTAGTAGTAGTAGTAGTAGTAGTAGTAGTAGTAGTAGTAGTAGTAGTAGTAGTAGTAGTAGTAGTAGTAGTAGTAGTAGTAGTAGTAGTAGTAGTAGTAGTAGTAGTAGTAGTAGTAGTAGTAGTAGTAGTAGTAGTAGTAGTAGTAGTAGTAGTAGTAGTAGTAGTAGTAGTAGTAGTAGTAGTAGTAGTAGTAGTAGTAGTAGTAGTAGTAGTAGTAGTAGTAGTAGTAGTAGTAGTAGTAGTAGTAGTAGTAGTAGTAGTAGTAGTAGTAGTAGTAGTAGTAGTAGTAGTAGTAGTAGTAGTAGTAGTAGTAGTAGTAGTAGTAGTAGTAGTAGTAGTAGTAGTAGTAGTAGTAGTAGTAGTAGTAGTAGTAGTAGTAGTAGTAGTAGTAGTAGTAGTAGTAGTAGTAGTAGTAGTAGTAGTAGTAGTAGTAGTAGTAGTAGTAGTAGTAGTAGTAGTAGTAGTAGTAGTAGTAGTAGTAGTAGTAGTAGTAGTAGTAGTAGTAGTAGTAGTAGTAGTAGTGGTAGTATGGTTCAACAGATGTGAGTTGGCGGTTACGAAAACCTAAGAATTCATCACAGAGTGACACCAGTTAGAGAAGTATTGAAAATCTGGGAGCACTGAATACCTTGTTTCATCTTAGTATGGGACTCCGGAGCACTACGAATCCACAATCCTGCCAAGGATTACATCCCGACCGATAGCTGCTACCTTGACGTGGTGGTCGGGCTTGCATATCACAATGACCCAACGAGCTATGCTGGTGGAACGCTTGTTCCCTCGAGGTCCTACCATACCAGAAAGGTCTGTTGGGTAGTGGTTAGACGAAAAGCAGTTACCGTTATAGTGTAAATTGCTACACTATGATGGGGGTCTGAGGGCGAAGTCGTACTGCTGCTAGCTGGATGGGGTGTGACAGCAGTAAGGTGTTTCCCTTGGATGACCAGCAGTGCCAAGCTGATGCTGCCTTCTCAGTGGAAGGGGGGGTTAGAAAAGGTCGGCCCCAAAAATAACACACTCCACCACGCCCCACGGTCTGCCGGGCCGGCGGTGTTGGTTCACTTGTCGTTTCCTTTCGACCATCCGGCCCCAAAAATACAAAAATTCAAAATAATCATACTCAAAAGGCTGGGTGTGACAGGCCTCAAGCAGATGTCCGATGGGCTCTGCGGTCACACAAATCTCTTTCAGGTACCTTAAGAAGAAATAGCCTTCCACGGTGTGGGCAGCCGGGAAGTGTCAACCGCCCTCACAACTCTGTCAGCACCCAAGTTTCTTCTGACTGCTATCCTCCTCCTCCATCATTACCTTCTAATCTTCCTTCACGTCTCTTAATTAATGATGCTGCATCATCTTCAATTTCTCCTACCTCTGCAGCCTTCGACAACGATCTGAGTCCACAGAACAGCATCCCTGGTCTCCTTAAACCACGCTCCAAATTACATATTGGAGCCTTCAATGTCCGCACCCTCCGTCAAATTGGCCAACAGGCTTCGTTGGCAAAGACTCTAGCAACTCGGGCATGGATGTGTGCTGTGTTTGTGAGACACGCATACAGGACCCAAGTGTGGTTATTCACCTGACCTCTCCTGACCAATCTGGTGAATCTGCAAAATTCACCCTTCGAGTTTCTGGAGATTCGATAGCTAGCTCTCGTGGTCTTGCAGGTGTAGGTATAGCATTAAGCACCAGGGCAGAAAACTCACTACTAGACTGGATCCCAGTTGATAGTCGCCTCTGCGCTATGAGGCTGAACGGCACAGTGAGAACTAAAAGGAATAGTGAGACTCGCCGTTGTCTCTTTGTAATCTCTGCTTACGCACCCACTGACTGTAGTTCGGATGAAGTGAAGGACGAGTTCTACCATAAACTGTCTAACCTCCTCTCGAAAGCCAAACGTTCGGACGTAGTGGTTGTTGCAGGTGACCTCAACGCACAGGTGGGTAGACTGAGTGAGGCAGAAAGGCACTTAGGTGGCACTTTCGGAATCCCAGCTGAACGTACAGATAACGGTGATCGCCTATTACAACTATGCTCAGATAACCGCCTATTTTTAGCCAGCACAAATTTCAGACATAAAGAAAGGCACTGTCTGACCTGGCGTCCACCGAGCTCGACTCAGCGATGGACACAGATAGACCACATTGCTATTAGTCATCGCTGGAGAGGATCGGTGGAAGACTGCCGCTCCTTCTGGAGTACGTGTTTGGACAGCGATCATGCGTTGGTCCGAGCACGTATATGCCTGCGTCTCAATGGACGTAGAAAAAATTTGGCAACAAAACCACTACGAGTTCTGCTGGACAACGAAAACACCAAAGCCGTGTTCAGTGAGAAGTTGGCTAGGCAGTTATCGGAACAAAAGACTGTCACTCATCCAGAAGAAGCTTGGTGCCATCTTCAGTCTACTGTAAAAGCAGCACTGGAGACTGTAGCCGACTCCAAGATAATGGCTAAAAAGAGCCAGTGGATATCAGCAGCTTCTTCCAAACTAATGGATGCACGTGAATGCATCCCTGCAGGCTCTGAGTACAATGAAGAGCGAGCGCAACTTAAAAATAACTGACGAAAAGTCTGCGCAACGATCGTGAACAGTGGTGGGCAGCAAAGGCTAAAGAGATGGAAAAGGCAGCGGCGATCGGTAACAGTAGACAGTTATTTAGACTTATTAAGGAGACTGGGGGGAAATGGTCAACAACAGTTAGTGAGGTTATAGCGGAGAAGGACGGATCGGCGATTCACTCGCAGGGAAGGCGACTGGGACGATGGGCAGAACACTTTGAGGAACAGTTTAACTGGCCTCCAGCCACCATTGCGCTGCCCGCTATCCAGTCGGACCCTGAATGGGACATAGAGACAGGTCCCCCAACACTAGAAGAAGTTGAGAAAGCGGTAGGTAGCCTGAAACGGGGAAGGGCAGCAGGACCAGACGGACTACCTGCTGAGGTATACAAGAATGGTGGTAGAGTTCTCTTAGTCAGGCTAACGGAAGTGTTAGCCAGTATATGGGAATCAAATACGATCCCCTCCGACTGGTCTAAGTCACTCATCATCCCAGTCTTCAAGAAAGGCGAGAAGTCCTCTTGTGATAACCACAGAGGAATCAGCCTGACAAACATAGTGTCTAAGATCCTAAGTTCTATAATTCTCCGACGCCTGAGTGGAGCTCGGGAACAGCAAGCCCGAGAAAACCAGGCAGGCTTTAGACCTGGCCGTGGATGTATCGACCAAATATTCACACTGCGCCAGGTCCTGGAACATAGGCATGCTTACAGACGCCCGACAATAGCTGTATTTCTCGACCTGAAGGCGGCATTTGACTCCGTTGATCGAGAAGTCTTATGGCAGTGTCTGTCACTGAAAGGCGTGCCTAGTAAGTACATCACCTTATTGAAAGCTCTCTACTCGAACACTTGTGGGCATGTTAGAGCCTATGGTGAGTTGTCCAGGGAGCTATACTCATCAAGTGGTGTCCGTCAAGGATGCCCACTATCCCCATTCTTATTTAATTTTATCATAGATATTCTTATGGAGGTTTCCCTCTCGTCACCTAATTACAAAGACGTTGACCGGATCACAGGTGAATTTTCCTTAGATCTAGAATATGCAGATGACATAGTCCTGTTAGGTGAAGACGCTGACAAGATGCAGAGTCTTCTGAACACTTTGAGTGGGAATTTGAGAATGTTTGGGATGCGATTTTCACCACCCAAATGCAAATTTTTGCTCCAGGACTGGTCTTCAGCGGTACCGCGGTTAACAATAGAGAGTGAAGTGGTTGAGTGTGTTGACCACTTCACTTACCTGGGAAGTAGGATCAACCCGGTGGGTTAGTTGCCGATGAGATTTCTGCACGGATACAAAAGGCTCGATTGGCTTTTGCCAATTTGCGCCACCTATGGCGCCGCCGTGATATTCGTTTGTCTATTAAGGGTCGCGTGTACTGCACAGCAGTCCGCTCTGTTCTACTGTATGGCTGTGAAACATGGCCATTGAAAGTGGAAGACAAAAAGGTTCAGGTGTTTGACCACCGTTGCCTTCGTAGTATAGGACGTATTCCGTGGTGTCACCATGTGAGTAATGCAGAAGTTAGGTGTAGAGTTTTAGGGAGAAGAGGTAAGTCAGTCGACGAGGTTGTGAACCTTCATCGACTGAGATGGTTGGGACACGTACTACGTATGCCTAGTCACCGATTGCCTCGTCACACAATGTTGGCTGAGGTGGGTTCAGGCTGGAAAAAGGCCCGAGGTGGCCAGACTAAAACATGGCACCAATGTATGAAGTCTCTGACTGTTGGTTTAAGCCATGTAGGACGATGCAGACTAGGTGGTTGGGGTCCACGGGACAAGAGGAACCAGTGGTTGGAGACCCTAGGTGATATGGCTCAGAACCGAAGTCAGTGGCGCAGATGTATACACACATTATCCTCATCTTAACAACGCTATACCGAATCTCACTATTTTGTCACTCCTCTTTCCTTTCTTCTCGTACTTTATATTTCTTTTGACTGCATTCACTTATCTTCATCCTTCACCTCACTACCTTTTTACTTGATGTGCTGATATGAGGTGTGGCAACTCGGACCGTTACGCAGTAATGCCTGGTCCTATGTTGATAATGATGATGATGATGACAAGGGTTACATCATGTTCAGGAACTTCAGATTCCGCAGCCAGCATGTTACCACTGAACCACTCGGTCGTGCGATATAGAGCGAAATTTATCCAATGCCGTCGATGATTACCTATCCTCATGCTCGACTTGGTTTACCCGACCAGTGACGACTTGTCATTCGAACTTCAGGGATTCTCAGAATAAATACGAGAAAACCTTCTAATCTGCTGCTGCAACCGCCTATGACTCTCGCGATATATAATGGTTTAACGCACTGAACTAAAAATAAAGTATTTCAATATTTCGCTTAGTAACTGTCATTGATGAAAATTAATAAGCGTCTGGCGATGTGAAAGGAAGGCATCAAAAGCATGAAAAGTAATGGAATTTAGCGAAAAATTTCAATTTCAAAAATAATTAAACTAAATTACATGGTTAAATAAAGCGTCTTTGTCAATGAGTAAAGAAAAACTATTAACTATAGATACCTTGCGGTCTTACTCATTATGCTCGAAGATTTAATACGAACTGCAAAAGGGCTTACAGCCATCCACCCATCCATCCTAATCAACATAGGACTAGGCATTACTGAGTTACGGTACAAGTTCCCACACCTCATCTCATATCACTACATCAAGTAAAAAGGCAGTGAAGTGGAAGATGAAGAGAAGAAAATTCAGTCAAAAGAAATATAAAGTACGAAAAGAGAAAAAGGGAGAATGAGAAAATGGTGAGATTCGGCATGGCGTCGTTAACATGAGGATAATGTGTGTGGGGATACATAGACACCACTGACATCGGTTCTCAGCCATGCGATCGCCTAGAATCTCAAACCACTGGTTCCTCTTGTACCTCAGACCCCAACCATCTAGTCTGCATCGGTCCACACGGCTCAAATCAATCGTCAATGACTTCATACATTGATGCCATGTTTCAGTCTGACCACCTCGGGTCTTTTTTCAGCCTCAACCTACTTCGACCAACATTATGTGATGAAACAGACGGTGACTTGGCATGCATAACACATGTCCCAGCCAACCATCTCAGTCCATTAAGGTTCACAACACCATCATCATAAACTGAATTAACTCTTCTTCGTAATACTCTACACCTACACCTGACTTCTGTGTTACTTATGTGGTGACACCAGGCAATACGGTCTGTACTACGAAGGCAATGGTGGTCAAACACCTGAAGCCTTCTCATGTCTTCCACCTTCAATGGCCATGGTTCATAGCCATACAGTAGAACAGACCGGACTGTTGTGGAGTATACGCGACCCTCAATAAACAATCGGATATCACGGCGGCGCCATAGGTGGCGTAAGTTGGTGAAAGCCAGTCGAGCCTTTTGTATCCGTGCAGAGATTTCAGCGGCCACCGACCCACCAGGGCAGGGTTGGTTCTACTTCCCAGGTAACTGAAATGGTGGACACACTCGATCACTACACTCTTTATTGTTAACCGAGGCACCATTGAAGACCAATCCTGGAGCAACAATTTGCCTTTGGGTGATGAGAAACGCATCCCGAACATTCTCAAATTGCCACTCGAATTGTTCAGAAGACTCTGCATGTTGTCAGCGTCTTCACCTAACAGGACTATGTCATCTGCATATTCTACGTCTAACGAAAATCCTCCTGCGATTACGTCAACCTTTGTGTAGTCAGGTGACGGGAGGGCGACCTTCATAAGAATATCTATAATAAAATTGAGTGAGAATGGAGAGTAGGCAGCCTTGACGGACACCATTCGACGAGCACAGCTCCTTGGACATCTCACCATACGCTCTAACACGCCCACACCTGTCAGGGCTTACATACTATATCTTTATAGTGATATGTAGCTTATATAAGTAGACTGAAAAAAATACATCATGATATGATGAACGCATAATCATGCCTTGCATCAAAACGAGTCTTTTACTTTCACAAAAGAAAAAATGTAGTTGTGGCTTACTGAATTAGGAATTTGACTTTTAGTCAATAGGTCACCGGTTCGATCAGCATTCCAACTACTGAGGTTCGGGCAGCAGCCAAGTAGTATCATTTGCTACCAAACGTGCAATAGATATGGCTTATTACCTGCTGCACAAATGTTCACAAGGTTGCTGACTCCATTTCACTTTCGTTTCATTCTTTCACAAACATAACATACAACAGATATATTTATAAATGATGAACTCACTAAAACGACCAATGTGCTAGGTAACTAACTCTGTGGTGGAAAAAGTATCATATTCTTCGTAAATTATAAACTGTCAACACTAAAGTGGCTAGCAGTGGAATCCAGGATGTGTATTTCGTCTCATTTAGGACTCGTCAGCTGGATCTACTTGCCTCCCAGTGAGTGATCTTGTTCCCACCGGGACTCGAACTCAGGACCGATCGCCTAAAGCATAATCATATCACTCTGCAATTCAGACACATTTTTTACAATATCTGAATGGTGGGATTAACTTCTGATGGTTGTGTGAGTTTGTATACAATTCACATGAAGGAGAACTGGAGAGAGAGAGAGAGAGAGAGAAAATAAACAAAACGAAACGTTGAGAAACCCATCATAGAACAGTTGTCCCTTACAAACACCTTGATCACAATGAAAATAATCCACCTTTTTGAGACATGAAATGAAATCAATCTGATGATAAAACTGCTAGCAGAATGTAAACAAAAAACCCATTACGGAAACACTTTGGGTTGAGTTACACATAAACTTTCGTACAGTTTAAAAAAATTTACCATATCGACGGAGCCGAAGTACTTCTGCTGCTTGTACATGATATTCATTTCTCTCTAAAGTAGCCTGTTGAGTAGCTGTAGCACAATAAGTACGTAAATGATGCAATCGGCATAGAAGGAGATGATGAAGTCTCAGGAAGGAATACCTGAAGAATTAATAAGATTATTGTTAAAGAAAACTGATTAGTCTAATTAATTCTCAACTAATTCTCCAAAAATTCAATACATTGTACTTTTAAAAATACAATAAATAAACACTAACAAAACAAAATCTGGTATAGCTGTTCAATATTTCAAGTTGTCACCTTATATAATATAATGTGTCATGAATTAGAAATTGACAAGATAAGAGACGAGGAAAGGAGGACATCAGCAGGTTTTTAAAAAGTGATAAGATAACAAGAAAAGAAAAGGGAAAAGGGATTGATGATTTCTGATAATAATCAATGAAATGAAAAATAAGATATGAATGAAGGATTTAGAAATGTTATCACCTGAAGTGAAGTTTCCTAATAATACCTATTTGCGTTACCTTGTCAGAAGGAATCGAAAGACGTGAATGCAGCATATAACCCATAGTTTATAGATATGTTTACCGAGTAAGATACTAATTTTACAATGAAATTCATACTTTGTTGCTGTATTTTTTTCATCAGATCCACTTTTTTAACGATTTTCTAGTCTTGATTGTATTGTGTTCTCTGAGCTGGGTTGTTTAATCGTGAAGCTTTCATCGTCTTGCTAGACGACATCATTTCCTGTTGGCTGTTCCTCTGCTTGACCTCTGACCTTTCTGTCGTTTATCATTTGTCTTATTGGTTGGTAGATCGGGTCTATGTCCATACATCCATTGATGTCTATAGATGTATGGACATAGACCCGATCTACCAACCAATAAGACAAATGATAAACGACAGAAAGGTCAGAGGTCAAGCAGAGGAACAGCCAACAGGAAAGTCTATACAATCAATGACACAACAATCGAAGGAAACAACCAATCACAGACCACATCGTCAGAGCAAGCCACTAAATCACTCACGGAGAGATATTGACAGCTCACTTCATACTGAAGTTAGTGCTAATGATGTCGTCTAGCAAGACGATGAAAGCTTCACTATTAAACAACCCAGCTCAGAGAACACAATACAACCAAGACCATCCGTCTGAGCTATAAACATTCTCCGATTTCCTAGTCTTTTATACACAAGAAAATCAACTTGATTTATGAAGTTTATGTGCAACATCTACCACAGTAACCTGAAAATTTCGTATGATGAGATTGGTACACTGAAGCAGTTACTAGTGAACTCACTTTTAAAAAAGTCTCGTTTTCAATCAGTCATTTTGCTTGACAGTTATACAGAAGAAGTCGACTGCTACCATCAGCACAATTTTGTTAGGAACAGAAGGCTTTTAGAGCTTCATATCCACATATGCTGTGACGAACTTTATGATTTGGTAATCACGTGAAGATATTACTAAAATATTCTGCTTTATCTGAGTTTCAAGTGCTTAGTCCATTCGTAAAGCAAAGATATACACAAGTGATATTAAACGATTGGAGACAATCGGTAGGAAACAGTGCTGGGACCAAGGTTTCCTGATTGTTGGTACACGTTAACAAGTTGTATCCACGATATAGAATGAATTGAAATCCCTGTTGAGGTTTGAAAGTGGGCCAGTTAGTACTTCATTTAATGTTATTTAAGGCTAAGTTCTCACTGAACAACTCTATCGATTAATGGTTGCTCAATTTAGTGACTAATCAATGGATATACGCAATTATTAGTCACGTTTACAACTGTATGAATTTCATACCAATGATATAGTTCTATGAGACAGACACACCTTTATACAAAAATCCAATAGTTAAACTAGAACGCTTTGTAAAAGTAAAACAAACAACAAACCTAAAAATAATAAGTTATGGATAAATAAGATTATGAAAACCAGGACAACAGGCGTATATACGGAGGTAATGCATATTATTTTGAAGAATATATGCACGCCAGTGTAATCGATTTCAAAATAAGTATGAGTAAAGCTTGGTCAATAGGGTAGAATGTAATTCTTTTATTTAGTTTGTTGATTAAAGTATTAAACAATATCTCTGATCCTGAAATCTCGGAGAATATTTGTTGCTTAGGTGGATAGTCTTGGATGTATGGTGTTCTCTGGGCTGGGTTGTTTGATCGTGGAGCTCTCATCGCCTTTCAAGATGACACCATAAGAACAAAAATCAACTGAAATAATTGTGGTCAACACTATATTGGACAAAGTAGTCGCCCTCTTCACCTTCGTTTACATGAACACCAAGTGGCTATTAAACGTCATACACGACATTTTATAAGTCATTTCAATGCATGTGGATAACAACTGTGGATATGATTTCAATTTTGACAATGCAGAAATATTGGACAGAAGAAACGCAAAGAATACCAGAGAATTCCTATAAGCATGGTATCCAGACCAGTCAGTCAGGAGTAAATAGATGTATGAAAAATGATGGACGACAGAAAGGTCAGATGTCAACCAGAAGAACAGTCAACAAGAGAATTTATGCAATCAATGACACAACAATCAAAAGATACAACCAATTCACAAACCAGTTCGTCAGGGTCAACTACTCAACTGAATCACTCATGGAGAGATATTGATAGCTCACTTTATATTGAAGTTAGTGCTGAAGATGTCGTCTAGAAAGAAAGACGATGAAAGCTCCATGATTCAACAACCCAGCTCAGAGAACACCATACATCCAAGAATATCTCTGATCACCAGAGACGCTGTCTAACTTATTCTCTAACAGCACATATTACTTCTATCCAAGTACTAGAATGTTCAGTATGTACAAAGAAAGACTTAAGGCGATGCATCTTAGAAGTAATAAATGCAACTGAAATGCATCAAAGCTTCATCTTCCCCCTAAGCCTTTTATTTCTACATGTCAAATAGGTCTTCTCAAAACAAACAACAAAACTACTCAATTGTATTCAATCTCGTGTTGCTGATATCTATCCATTTAAAAGACAAAAGATTGTGGATTTTTTCTCACCAAAAAGAAGCGGAGAACAATCACTAAACTAAATTGAAAAAAACAATTAAACATGATTATCGTTTTGACTGTCCAGGTGATGTTTGAAGGTGAAGTGAAAATTTGGACCTCATAGTTCAGTTGGTAAAGCATCGAGTCCGAAACCCAGTGGTTGCTGGTTCGAATCCGGCCACAGTCCAAATTTTTATTTGATCTTCAATCATTAACCAGTATAAATTCAATATGAATTCATCCTAGTGACTAATAGATGAAAATCTTGCTACTGTTAATATACTATGGGTGAAACAAACACCTACAAGTATAACTTACCAGTGATTATTTCCGTATAGTACAGAATAGTATTCTTGTTTTGGTAAGTTATTCACAAAATCAAATTCCATTGTACGGAGTTCATTTGATGAATTATCTAAATGATTGTGATGACAAGGCACAGAACTACTTTGTGTAGATATCTCTGGAGAATTATAATTTATATCTTCTGCTTTTAATCGTAAAGGCAAGCAGCTATCAGTTTGTACACTGAGTGGTTCACTTACTGCTGCTGCTGCTGTTGCTAATACATTCACATCATCTTTTCCAGAAGACTGAAATTCACACTGATCAGTAGTAGAAGAAAACATAGTTTGTTCACCAGATATTAATTTTCGAGAATCAGGACAACGTTTTGATAACTTTAAATGACGTACAGATTGATTTCGATCACCATCTTCATTTTCGCCTAGATCATCTACCGTCTCTTCTTCATCCTCTTTTTGATCGATATCATCATCTTCATCCTCTTCATCTTCATCATCTGACATTGGAAAGCGATTCGCCATGAAAATATCTTGTAATACAGTTCTTACCTGAAAATACATGAAGGATAAAACCTGAGTATCAGCATAAATCTTAACATAGAATGAAGCCCTCACAGTCCTATTGAAATCCCCATAAGGAATGAGGATATTCAGAAAATCAAATGAACTTACATTTTATAAAACACTAGAGAGAACCCGATTTTCAGCACTAAGGACTAATAATAATAATAATAATAATAATAATAATAATAAAAACATTAGAGAGACTGTAACTCCTACTTACATAAAAAGACAATAAACATCATGTCATCAATATCTCAATCTCCTTCTTTACCTAATACTCCATAGCTCACTTGAGTCCTTAGTCGACTGAGATGCGTTGTACTGCGCATACCAAGCCACCACCGCCTACCTCGATGTGCCATGCTACGGGGAGTTAAGACAGGGTTTAGGGTAGTCAAACGAAGACATGGCACCGATCCATGAAGTCCCTAAATGTTGATCTGAGTCGTGTTCGAAGATGTAGACTTCCCGGTTGTGGTCCCGAAAACAAAGGGGATCAGCGGTTAAGAACACTTTGTGACAGTGCTGAAAGTCGATCACAATAGCGCAGATGTATTCACTCTTCGGGATCTTCTAAAGCTTGAATATTCACACTAACCTTGGTTATTCTCTCCCCTACTTTATTCACTTTGATATCACTCGTTTTCTATCCACCAGTTCTTTGTGTACTACTGTGAAGTGTGACAATTTGAGCCGATGCACTTGCGTGCGAGGTTCTACGTTGATTTCGTCAGTCAACCAGAGAGGGTGAATAAAACTGTATAGGTATATTGTGTTGAATGTCTACAAATTAACTTTAATCCCCTATTGTTACACCGACTTTTTATGAAATACCACACTTTTACCGGCCTAATCTAAAATTATTCCCATCTACAATGTGTAACTACTAACTAACAATCAAACAAAAAAAGGGTTGAACATTAAGTATATGCATTTCTATAACATACCAAACACTTCATAGCTCGTTTATCATTCTTGCTTGCATTGGATTGACGTTTCACATGATGTATAATCAATGAGGCAGCATCTTCTAAGAGTGTATTCCTAACATCTGATGGTGGGTAAACCAATGTAAGATGAGCTGATTCGTCTTCATTATTCCCTTCTAAGACATTGGTCAACGCAGAACCAATAGTTCCTGGATTGCTAATATCTCGACAGATAAGATTTTGCTGAGTCAATAGACTGGAAATCATTTTACCAACAGGATCTGAGCTAGAATGACATGATGTATGCTACAAAACAAAAAAGAGGGAAAAGTATGATAAAATATACAATCGGATAGATTGTCAATATCAAAGTACAAGTGAACATTCACATTAAAATAGGTCTTAATATATTTCTGTAATATCCTCAACAGCAGTGGAAAAAACAGTCACTAAAAAGACTACATCGTTTTTAACAATTAGCTTATTACTCATATAGTTGAATTTGATAAGAATCATATAGTTATGATTATAACATAAACAGAAAAGACTTTACTAGAAACACGAAGTATCTATGAAGGATATTTTACCATAAAATATTTGAAGTTAGAGTGGGTGCAAAAGTACACAAAGGTCTAGATGGTATGGTTTTTTTTGAGCTGGGTTGTTGAATCATGGAGCTTTCATCGTCTTTCTTTCTAGACGACATCTTCAGCACTAACTTCAATATAAAGTGAGCTATCAATATCTCTCCATGAGTGATTCAGTTGAGTAGTTGACCCTGACGAACTGGTTTGTGAATTGGTTGTATCTTTTGATTGTTGTGTCATTGATTGCATAAATTCTCTTGTTGACTGTTCTTCTGGTTGACATCTGACCTTTCTGTTGCTTATCAGAGGATACAATACGATCAAGATCATCCACTTGAGCTACAAATATTCTCTACCAGTAAACAAAGGTGTGTGGGAGAAGAGAATATGAAAATGAAGGTTGGTGAGAATATTTAAGCTTTAGAAGATTTCAAGGAGTGAATACATTTTCAGCCATGTCATCAACAGTCTTCAACCACTGATTCCTGTCGTTGCAGGAACCCCAGCCAGAGTCTATATCTCCCTACACAGCTCAAACCCACAGTTAGGGACTTCATGGACTGTTGCCACATCTTAGTCTGGCCAACCCAAACTCTGTTTTACAACCTAATCCAACTTCTCCTGGCTAATACAGCCGAATTACTTCACATCACCTAAATCAATCTGGCTAGCTGACTGGCATGCATCGATCGGTATGATCAATTCGCAAATTATTCATATACCATATGGTCCATATTGACATTTCACATAGCTGAGTAGATTTTCGAATGCTCAACTCTTCTGTAAACAGAGTTTACGTTACAAACCACCAAATCAGCCGAGACGACAAGGTATGATTTCGGACACAAAAGTGTCATGAATTAACGTAACACTGCAGGTTTCATTTAGGAATTTTCTTCGTGGAAATCTTAATTTTACATCTCAATGGAGATTATAGATCAAATATATGCGCTTAGATTTCAATGTTAGATTGGAAAATATAACATAGATTTCGTTGGATTGAGTTTGATCAACGCTAAATTACTGAATAGTGAACTGAATTGAATAACTCGTTGGTAAACTAACACATTTCTTGAATGTCAACAAGGATTTTACATAACCACGATAACTGTTGGTGCGAAGTAGGTAATGAGCCTAACACCTACTGTGAGGCCTAGTGATACTATCTAGCTGCCAAGACCTTAATAGGTGGAACGGGACTCAAACCAGTGATCTAATGACCTGCTAAGCCACTGAACTCTGAGTCCTGTATCTGTTGATGGTTTATACTTAGTAGTCATGGCAAAAAGATAGATAATGCTGTAACTAAACAATTTAAATGGACATCATGTGAAATACAATACACTAAAGAATGACTTTTTGTTTGTTTAAAAGAAACACCGGCAACCAACAGACAACAACTTTCTATGAAACAAAGTAATGAAAAAAGAGATGATATTTTGTAAAAGTAGAAAAGAAAGAAAACACAAAAGTGCTTACCTTATCATTACGAGCAATCGATTCAATTTGACTAATCATAGTTTTACTACGAATAAATGGAGCATCACGTTGTTTGAATGCTGCTCCTTGATGATCTAACGAACGTAAGTAGTTACGAGCATCTTGATCTGCCCATGAACGTTGGTAATTACGAATAGTCTCACGCCATTCAGTGTCTTTTTGACGCATACGTTGAATAACTAACGGGAGGACTGTATTGGGGCAATTTCTTAAGCCATAGATTACATCACCTGCTTTATCACCATAAACTCTGAATAGCATAAAATAGAATGTAGGAAGATATTTCAAATAACAAGTGGGAATATTAATATGCAGATGAAATAGACTCAACAAGATAATTCATGTTGCCGCCTCCGGCTAACTGGATACTAATGGACTGCAGATTCGTAACATCTAATTTCTCAGAGCGAAGTGTAAAGTACTGGCAATAATGTCATTATGCCATTAAATTTAACTCAAGAAAGCCCAAATGTTTATTCCTGCATAGAATATAGTAGTAATATAAGTGTAAAACTTGGGCACTGTGGTAGAATGTAATTCCATATTAGATTTGTTTATTTGATATATTATTATTATTATTATTATTAGTCCCTTGGGTTCCTAGTGGAACATAGGGCTTCATTATTTGATATATAGCGCACAGTAATACAGTATTATTTACTTGATTACGTTTCGAGCATAAATTATTGCTCATAATCATATCAATGTAATCACACTTCTTTCGATATCTGATTTTATATTCCTGTCACCTGATCTCTCCTTGTTTTTTTGATTGGTAGTAAAGTTTTCCATATCTCTGGTATAGGTGTTGCGTCATTCCTATTACATGTGTTAGGTGTGGATTCGATGAACAAAGATTCAGTAATTAATCTCTCTGTCTGTCTGTCTCTCTCTCTCTCTCTGTCTCTCTCCACCTAGCTATATTAGACTTAAGTACAGTGGTTTTGTCCCACCCTATTGTGTGGTTGTGTACATTGCATACTTTGGGACAGTAAAATTAGTATGATAATTTAATTGGTTGTGTTTAGCAGAGGCATCCAGGATGCGCGCTTCATCCTGTTTGGGACTCCTCAGTTGGGTGTACCTGCACTCCGGTGAGTGATGTTGTCCCCACTGAGACGAACCCCCTACCGTCGCTTCAAACTCCAAAGCACTATCCACTAGGCCACGGAAGGACGATAGCCACCTCTTGTACATCGGGTAGTAGTTATTGCTATTTGTTGATATGCTTGTGATTCTCCGTTGTGTTACTGGGTCGAATTGTTCGACCTCGACCAAACGCGCGTCCTGGATTCCACAACCAAATAAATTACCATAATAAATGTTCAGGCAATATCGAGACATCCGCATAGGAGCCCATATGCCAATAGAGGTTGAACAATTCGGTCCCGTAAAACAACGCAGAATTACAAGCATATCAACAAATAGTAGTGAAATTAATGATAGTATAAAGGATAACACGAATAACGTTCAGAATGACACGACAACGTAAACAGCTGTTCAGACAGACAGACAGACAAAGTAGGTCAACGTTTAAAAAAAGGCAATGAGATTCCGTAATACTGGAAGATGAAGGCAGTGAATAAATGAAGTTTGAATATAGTAGTGGTGTGAAAAGGATGACAAAAATGAAATAAGAAAAGGGAAGAAGGGCATTTTAAAATTCATAAGTAAGGTCATTCATTAAGTTTTCTTTGATCAAGGCAAAGATAAAGGCTGTACAAATTTCTTCTGAATACACAGCTTCGAATCGTTTATTCGAATACCTATAACCCTAATTATATGTAAACAGAGAATTCGAACTCCATCGAAGAGGTTCGGTGGGATGCAGTAAATAACACACTCTCTGACCACTACTAACTACATGTGACAAAATAGAACTCCTTACAGATTTAACTTGTGCCTTTCCCTGCCATGAAGGTAGATTTTTGGCAATACGTCGGTTAACTTGCCTAGTCCTACATCTGATGTAACTGTCTACACAGGAGTAATTAAATTGGTTAATATATATAGCAGCTTGTCCCTCGTTTGACACGAAACAATTCATCGACTAGAAAACAATAGACACAAATTAGTTGCATAAAACGTTCCCTTAATGGTTCTCGATAGTCTGTGGAACAGGATCTCACTAAGTATATCTCTATTAAATTGTAGCTTTATGAGTAACGGTTTGTTCCAAGCAATTGTTACTTCAAGTCTTCCCGATCTATTCATAGGCTTTTTTGTTAAGTTTTGAGTATAACTAATTTCAACTAATGAATTCGAAATGGACTCTAACTCACTCTGTAGAGTATCGTCTGAGCAGATTTTCCCTGCTCTGGCTGTCAAACATTTCACTAAATTTCCTTCGTACCGTTATAGGTATGCAACTAAGGAAGTATGTGCATCGGCATACAGATTTACTTATTGTGTACACGCTTCTGTAAAGTGATCAATCTCCTCGTCTACTTAATAGAACACAAGAAAACTTAGATCTTCATCCCGTTCACTTCACAAGTGAAGGGTATATTTCGTTGAAATTTCTCAATAGTTCGTTCTTATCTATATTCTGATAAATGATTATTAATATGTCATCCAGGTATCTATAATACATGTCTAGCCTGTTGATGTCATCCTTCAATGGTTCATTCTTTAGTTTAACCAGAAAGAAGCCTACAAGGATTGCGCTTAATGGTGATCTCATTGAGATCCCATCCACTTGTCTATAACATACATTATTGAAAACAAAGTGTACATTCATCGTACACCCGAAAAGTGATTCCTTAAGGTTAGATTTATGGATTCCAGTGTTGATTTGTATCTCCAACACTCGCTGACCAACACACGACATCACCTGTTTCATTGAGTGGTATATTGTTGAATAACCGATACTTAGAGGATTTGTTTAAGGCTGTGAAAATGATAGTGACTGCAATAAGCGTCCACACTACTCCTAATCAGTATCGAACATACATATTGATGATAATAATAATAATAATGACACAATTATGAAGAGGAATCAATAAGACAATGCAGATATCATATAGTAACTACTATGTACAACAAAATTAAGGAAAATGTCTGACTAACCGACCTTAGATAGATAGGCAAAATTGGATTGAAACTCGTAAATAAGTAAGTGATAAACGAGTGTTTGTCATCTCAAGTCACAGCTTAATCGAGACGCTTAATGAGTCCAGTTGTTCGAGATAGCTAGAATGTTAGGGTTTCCAGAAAACTTCCTAGAGCAATCATGACATTGAGTCCCTCTAAGTTGATAGCATCACAAGACTGATAAGTAAAATCCTTTAACACTTTAGAACTAGTCGAAACGACACTTGCCTAATCTACAATGAAAATCTTACAAGCCTTGATATGGTGCTGGTTGAGATAAAAGCAGTAGAGATAGCTAGGGTATCATAGCGAAGGAAATCGCGTGGGGTTGCGGCGGGGGACGGTGGGAAGTGCCAAAACATGTACGACTATAAGTTGATAACACTAACTTATATAATATGAAGTCAATTTTAGTTATGCATATCTATAGGCTTCCAATGTTTCTCTAAAAATATACACCCCTTCCGTTACACCTGATCTTTTTTTTTCTTACAAAATACAGCGTTAGTGATACTTACTCAAACGAACAGCTGAATGATTGATTGACGAAACGAGACAGCTTCGACCGACCTATTCAAATCACTTCTGTTTTGTATTTGTGTTTTCTTTGAAGAAGTTTTCAAACTACTGTGAGATATAAACATAAAAAAAGGAACTGGCTTTCAATTATTAAAAGCGTATCTAACACATCTAGGTTCTAGAGTATGGACAACTATCGTTGAAATTCCCGGATGATTTGCATATTTTAGTTAACTATTTGCTACTAAAACAATCACCATCAACGGGAGAAATCTGAAGGAGGTTGTCTCTTTCACCTACCTAGGCAGCATCGTTTCAACTACAGGCGGCGGCGCACATGACGATGTCAAAACCAGAATCGGGTAGACAGCAACACAGGCCTTCACCAATCTGAAATCAGAGTGGAGATCTACTGCACTCCACTCCACTCAGCATAAAGTGTGAACAAGGTCCGGATTTTCAACACTAAATCAGTCAAGTAAGTCAGTGCTTCTATATGGTTTAGAAACCTGGCGCGTTACGAAAAACATTTCCAGCAAACTACAGACATCATACATCAACAGCTGCCGCCTACGCCCACTCGATACTGAAGATGGAGATCAGATGGCCAGAAAGAATAAACAAGGAACTCACTCTGGTCAGGCAACGAACTAACCAAGAACCCATCGCCAAACAAATATGCAGAAGAAAGTGGAGATAGATTGGATTGGATTGGACATACACTGAGGAGACCGTTCGACGACATCACGCCCCAGGCCAGACCAGGCCCTCGAGTCAAACCCAGATGGGGAACGATGAGTTGGACGTCCCAGCTGAGGGTGACATGGAGGAGATGGTGTGAAGAAGAAATGAAAGCTTATGGGAGTCGTGGAGCGAGGTTAAAAAGACTGTAGAGAAGAGAGTGAAATGGCGACGTGCTACTCAAGCCCTGTGTTTCACTAGGAACCCAGGGGACAAATAATAATAACAATTTGCTACTAAATCTGAATCATACTGGATATAACAGCTACAACTGAATTTAGTTCGAAAAGCATTTGCCTTGCAATAGCTTTGTTTAACAAGTGAATCAAACGGGTTCGAACTTTTAAAACAAGTTTTATCAACTGCAAAGAATGCATCAATATTGTTAGATGAACCTTAGAAGTATTAAAACCATTAAGCTGAGAAATAGAATAAAACGTATTATGAGATAGTAGGTACCTGTGAATAGCTTTTCGCATTAAAATGGCAGATGTGCCACCCAATTTGTCATCCATATGGAATTGATTGAGTTCCTCTTTGCTCATCCTATCCATACGTCTTTTTACAACAACAAGATTTTGCATTGCAGCTCGATTGAGTTCAGTAACCATATCCACCTCATAACGTTCATCTTCGACACGATACATATTCTCCTCGTATTGATTCTTTTTAGATGAAACAAACTGAGAATCTTCAGAAGTAAGCGAAGAAAAACTGATATAGGAATCATTTAACACCTAAAAAGGAAAAATAATGACGGATATGTACCATACTGTGAAAATAAAGAGTTGAAAGAATTATGGAAGTGAAACTTAAATTCATGACAAACACATTATATACTAATTAACCCATTGTGCTAAGCAGTTAGAAAAAGGGGGAGGGGATAGGAAATGGTTTGTCAGTAAGGGACAAACTCTTTACAAAAATAAACATAATGGAAAAGCCATTAGAAGTCTTGAGTAGCACGACAAGACGTAGATATTTAGATGTGAAGAGAGACCATGACGATATATAACATCACATGTTCATAGTTAATGAAACTACCTAGTAGCTCAATATGAAATTAGCAGTGGCAAATCTATGAAAAAATATTATCCTTATTATTATTATTATTATTATTATTATTATTATTATTATTATTATTATTATTTGTCCCCTGGGTTCCTAGTGAAACACAGGGCTTGAGTAGCACGTCGCCATTTCACTCTCTTCTCTACAGTCTTTTCAACCTCGCTCCACGACTCCCCATAAGCTTTCATTTCTTCTTCACACCATCTCCTCCATGTCACCCTCAGCTGGGACGTCCAACTCATCGTTCCCCATCTGGGTTTGACTCGAGGGCCTGGTCTGGCCTGGGGCGTGATGTCGTCGAACGGTCTCCTCAGTGTATGTCCAATCCAATCCAATCTATCTCCACTTTCTTCTGCATATTTGTTTGGCGATGGGTTCTTGGTTAGTTCGTTGCCTGACCAGAGTGAGTTCCTTGTTTATTCTTTCTGGCCATCGGATCTCCATCTTCAGTATCGAGTGGGCGTAGGCGGCAGCTGTTGATGTATGATGTCTGTAGTTTGCTGGAAATGTTTTTCGTAACGCGCCAGGTTTCTAAACCATATAGAAGCACTGACTTACTTGACTGATTTAGTGTTGAAAATCCGGACCTTGTTCACACTTTATGCTGAGTGGAGTGGAGTGCAGTAGATCTCCACTCTGATTTCAGATTGGTGAAGGCCTGTGTTGCTGTCTATCCGATTCTGGTTTTGACATCGTCATGTGCGCCGCCGCCTGTAGTTGAAACGATGCTGCCTAGGTAGGTGAAAGAGACAACCTCCTTCAGATTTCTCCCGTTGGTGGTGATTGGTGCTTGTTGTTATGGTGGTGGTTGGTTTAGTATCTTCGTCACCTCTGCCTTCTCTACGTTCACCTGAATGAAGTCCTGTCTGTTCTGCCAACTTGTTAGCTTTCGCCTGCATATCTTCAAGTTTATGCGATATCAGACATAAACCATCATCAGTGAAATCTAAATCTTCTAGGGTCATATCATCCGTCAAGTAGCGTATGCCCCTCTTCTCACTTCTCATGGTTTGCTGCATGATCCAGTCTACCAAAATCAGGAAGATGATCGATGATAGTAAGCGGCAACCTTGTCTTGTCTTACTCCTGTCTTCAATTCACAGGCCTCACTGAGCTTTCGATTATCAACAACTTGCCATGTGGAGTCTTCATATAGCTGCTGTTGAATGAGGTTGATAAAGGTTTGTGGCACTAAAACCGTAGTGTTGAAGCAGCTGCCAAATTACTTGTCGGTCGATGCTATCTAAAGTCTTTTCAAAATCGATGAAAATGAGATAGAGAGTTGACTGCCACTCTATACTCTGTTCTATGATGATGCGTAGCGTTGCAATTTGATCCGCACATGATTTGTTCTTCCTGAATTCAGTCTGTTTCGGTCGTAATTTTGAATCCAGAGCATGTTTTAGTCTCTCCAGGATGATGCGGCTGAATATTTTGCTTGGGGTTGACAGCAGCATGATTTCGCGCAAGCTTTTGCAAAGACTTAGATTGCCCTTCATTAGGACTATGAAAAAGTACAGTGGTAATAATGTTGAAGGGTAAGGTAACGACTTAACTGACACACTGACTGATAAAATCAACGTAGAACCCCGGCACATAAGTGCATCGGCTCAACTTGCAACACTTCACAGTAGTAGACAAAGAACAGATGCATAGAAGATAAACAATCTGAAGATAACGGTTAGTATGAATATTCAAGCTGTCGAAGGTGCCAAAGGCTGGATATACCTGCGCCATTGTGATGGACTTTCAGCACTATCACCAAGCGTCCTTAACCACTGATTCCCTCCGTTTCCGAGACCCCAACCAACCAGTCTACATCTCCTCCACATGACTCACACCAACAAAACTGCAATGTTATTCATACAACCTTATGGATAGTTCAAAGATTGGCAGTTTTATAAGGTTCTCAGATAAGTAAACAAGCATCTGAAGTACTAGTTCTTACACTTGATATACGCAATTTTCGGAAGTTAGGATATGTACATTAGCAGAATTTTTAGAATTCACGATACATATGGTCTCTAAGACTCAAATAATCCAACGATGCATATGCAGTACTGAGTTTGAATCTTATTGACACTGTATATTTATCGTCCACCAATTTCAACTGTCTTAAAAAGACCACAAAATAATATCCTCTGTCTACTACACACAGCGACCAAATTGGTGCAAAATCCATGAAGTCTTTGACTATTAGTCTCAGCCGATTACAGAGGTGTACGCTGTCTAGGATCCCTAGGATGCTAGAAATGAATAGTTGAAGACCTTCGATTACGTGTTTAAAAAACCAATCACAATGGCACAGACATTTTCACCCTTTGATATCTTATACGATTTGAACATCTTCATTAACCTACATTTTCAAATTCCTTTTCCTTAGATGCCTACGTTCTAGTTGTTTACTAGTTATTTGCATGCTTTTTTGAAGTATGGCAACTTGAACTGATTCACTTTTGTGGGAGGCTATCTGTCCATCAGTCTAATTGTTGCAATATTTCTTGTTTGTTAGTTTTAAGACTTCATGTAATTTACACACTTAACATGTCACACCGAAGAAGATAATGGTTAGATATGTGCAATATGTTCGGAGAAACTCAGTCGATGAGGGCTTAAAACTTCAAGTTATCTCTCTGAACCCGTACTCTAACCTTAAACATTGTATTGCTAATACGATGTTTCTGCCACACGCAAATGATGGATCGAACGCAATATCGGCCAACTAACTACTGTTCTCACAAACGCATAGTATGTGACCACACTTGGCAGTTACAGCGAGAGGAGCGCAATGTTGTGTAGTAAACTCAACTCTCTTGTCAGACATTCAAGCACATCACTAGCATCCTAAGTGAAATGACCTGTCCAAAGGTCACTTAAAATTCCGTCAGCTGCCAACCCTCCAAGATTTATGTAACTATCGAAGCTAACGAGATGGTAGTAGCTCTCAAACAGATGGAGCACCGAAAACAACCAATCCTGCACCGGATTCATACATAAAAAGGGTTGAACAGCCACATGCACTTCTGCGTCGCATGCAATGAGCTACACGTATTTTGACGGCTAAGGATACCACCTGACTACCCAAACCTCGGTAGGTGAAGCAGGTTTCGAATATGTGACTCACTGACAGGAAGTTGAGCCACAGCTTCGGCTTTGCACATATCGATAAAAACCTAGTGTAAATACAATAATGAAATGGTGTGGTGTAGCACGTTTCGGTACATTCAATAGGCTGCAACTTGCGTACACCGTAAGGTCAATTAAGATTATTCAACCCGAATTAGATACTATGAATCCCAACCTGTAATTTAAAAGCTGAATATTGACCGCTGGGATCACTATACCCCGATTTCGTCATGTCACTAAATATCCTACACGTGAGTTATGTCCCACTGTAAGGTAGAAGCAGCATGAATTCTTATTTCAACCTAACATAATTTTTAAGAAACCGAAAGAAATATACTAGACCAAAAAATTGAATCGTTGACAATAAGTCACAATAGACTTACTTCTTTCGCGACTGGACATTTCTGGCGACCAGAACACTTGCTTTGAGGGAAATTTGATGGGAGTGCCCGATAGCTTACACCACATGTCCTAAGCTGAGTAAAATCCAGATCCAAACGCTTTTGAGATGCTTCATTTACAAGTGAAATTAATGAAGGAGGTGGTTGGTTATTCACATTATTGGATAAAGAATCAGAAAATGTATGAGGTTCACATTTGAAGCTGCAAGTACTATGTTTATCCCGATCGTGTCTATCTCGAAAAAACGTAGGAGAGTGAGACTGGAGTTGTCCAAATCCTTCTTCAGATGAATTTCGTGATGACTGAAATGATCAAAAAAATAATATTAGCCAAAGTATGACAGCTAAATGATAATATTACCTTTAAAAAAGAATCCTTGACAAACGAAGTTAATGGTAATCATGAAAATGGCACTATTGCATCTGGTCATTAATAATGCACACCTTTATCCAATATAAACAAAATATACCAAATAATAACTGCAACAATAGATCGGTTTGGTGAGTTTTTCAATTGACTTTAATGAAGTATGAGAACGCAACACTGCCACCTCATTAACTAGAATCCATAAATGAATGACAAATTTTTGAAGACTGCTTCTCGTCAGTTAATGATTAACAACAGTGATCAACCCTAAAAATTCTATCAAACCTTTTTAATACTACAATATAGTTGCCAAAGTGAAAAAATAGCATACAACTCATAAGATTGGATCGGGTTAAATCGTCTTATTTCAAAGTAGAACTGTAGACAAAAGTTATCAATATAGGATCTACGATTGCCGCATAGCAGTGTAATTTGCCACGCCTTAAATCACCGGAAAAGGTATTAGGAGACAGAACAAAGAAATGACAGCAATGCCTTCGAAAACTGTTAAAAAAACCACTCCATAAAAAGAAGTGAAAATAAAGCAAATAATGAAAGGCGATATTATAATTAAGACCAACTGCCGCAGTATCCAGGCATATGCACAGGAGCCCATCTGTCTGCCAACAGAAGTCGAGCAATTCGACCCTGTATAGCAACGGAAAACTACAAGTATCGAACAATAACAACAACCGATATCCATTGCCCAAACGGTAGCCCTCATGCTCTAGTGGACAACGCTTTGTTGTTTGAAGCAATGGGTACCGGGTTCAAGTCCTAGTGGGAACAACATCACTCACTAGGGTGCAATTACAACCAGCTGACGAGTCCCAAGCAGGACGAAACGCACGTTCTGGATTCCACTGCTTGTCACCAAAATGGATATAAGACCGACTACATCAATCGAGAAGTCTCATGACAGTGCATTTCACTGAAAAGGATGTCGGATGGGTACATTACTAAAGTTTATGATGAGGTATCAGGTGAGTTGTTGAAATCGTGCAGTCTGTCAAGGATATCAACTCTTTCCACTTACATTTAACTTCATCATAGATGTAGTCAGAGATTTCCTTCTCCTCGTTTGACTTCACAGGGATTGACCCTGTTGCAGGAGATTCTTTGGTACAACTAGAATACTTTCACGTGAAGGTGCTGACAAGATTCAGTCTTTTGAGCACCCTAGGTAACAAGTTGAGAATGCTTGAGATACCCCCCGCCCACCTTCCGAATGTGAACCACTGCTTCAAAGCAAGTCTGTGTTGATTCCTCATCTGACAATAGGGGATGAATAGGTGGACTACGCTGACCACTTCACTAGCACGGGAGGTCGGGTTACCTCTGGCTAATATAATCTCAGTACGGTTACAGACGCCCCAATCAGTTTCTGTCAACTTACACCATTTATGGCACCAACGACGATATTCAGCTGGTTGCTAAGACGTGAGCGTACTGGATGGTAGTTCGTCTTACTTAGTGACTGTGAAAAATGGTCATTCAATGTAGAGGATATGAGAAGGCTTCAGACGTTCGATCACTATGAAACCTTGACTTCATCCTCTCCTCTTGTCATTTTATGGATTTCTACGATTTGCGACTACACTACTCTTACTCGGCTTTTTCCATCTTGTTGCCTTGTATCTTAAATAGCATTTGAGGCATGATAGCCTTGAACACTTACATAGTAATGACTGAGTGAAGAAGATAAGTCATTTTATACGACTATAAATCTTAGCGACTATTTTCAGGATGTGCTATGTGCTATACATGAGCTAACCAGCTAAATTGATGCTCAAAGCTAATCGAAGTAGGAGTAAAATGGAAATAAAGTTTAGGGTGGTCAAAGCTGGACACATGACACAGATCTACGAAATTTTCCTGTTAACTTGAATGCTGTAGTTCTTAGTGAACATTACAACTATAAGTCACAAATCCACCTGAGAAGTGCTTTGTGCATTTTACTTAAATACACTAAATACCATCCCTACCACCTTCAGGATTATGGGAACAAATCATTAAGAACTACAAAGTTATAAGAATGGCGCCTTGCGGCCAAGTGAACCTGGCGTCAGTGTATATGCATCCATTCATAGTTAGTGATTTGGTTTTAGCTAAGAAAATCTATTGTTTGAATTTTCAAAGAATGGCTTGGAATGGAAAAACAGATATGAGATTGTGCGAAGATTTGAACAATACTTATCCTCAACCATTAATGATCCACTTGAGAATGTGGAAACTTAAACAAACCTGACAACTTGGCGCATGTTTTCCTCTTTAAAAAAGTGCTTAGGATTAACTATTTGACACTGACGTGCAGCACCAAACTTTACATGCTGTGTCTGCATGAACATATTAAAGTAATAAATCTATGCTAAACCTGCTTACCATGATAAAATCACTGAAGCGCTTCCACACCTCGACATGTCTCAAAAATAGAGAATGTGTCGTCTCCAATAGTTCATCAGCTGAAATTATCCGACGATTGAACAAACAAACATTTTGTAGGAAAGTTTGATACGAGCGATTTCCAACTGGACTATCAGCATCCAAGGCATCTCGAATCTAGATGGGTGATTATTAACTATTATAACAACAAACTTTTTGTAAAAGTGACAAGCCAATCCCTGTGGTAAGCTGATTTGCGTCAACAACGCTAACATCTCGCACTGATGAACGTGATTTCTTGGGTGGATTAAGGGCAGAACTACTGTTGGAGAAAGAAGTATTCGGTGTAGGAGCAAGTCGTTTTAGCTTTTTGGTATCTGCATTTGGAAGAATACCCTCCTGACTGGAACGCTGCTTACAAGAAGATAATGCAAGGTTGATACCTTCTGAAACACGATTTATTAATTGAGGTACTGGAACAGTAGGATCTAATAGATCTGACCCACTAAGTTGTGAATAACCAGAATTCTTCCTATTTATCATTGTTTCTGTCTACAAGAAAAGAAATAATCTTCAAGATAAAAACCTACAACAGCGCTTGTGACACCGAAAGATTCAGGTAGAAACTGGTTGAATTCTTGGAGTAAATCTTCTTGGCCATCGAATAGTTTGGCGACATCTTGGTATACTTGTAATTCTGCTTGTTTGCGACACAATGGATCTGAATGTCGTTGCTCTTTTTGATACCACTGTAATATATCTAAGAAGCGTTTGTAGACATCAGGTATACCTTGAAACCGGTTCTGAATCAACTCTAGTTATACGCAAATAATATTACTTACCTTGATTTTATTTACATACTGAAGAGCATGATGGAATGACTGGATTTGCTGATGTTGCTGGTACACATGAGAGGGTTGTGTTACACTTGTAACATTGTGGGAACTTCTAACCAGGACATTGGACAGGTTTTCCTGATAGTCAGTCGGTAAAAACTGTTGCTGAACTGGCGGATTATAATTCAGACTGTCAGATTGGACGTTCGGTGTTAAAGCACGTACAGGGGGTGAGGCAACAGTTAAGGGAAGGCTATTTGAGCGGACGAAAGGTTCACACTGATTGCTAGTTACACCACTTAAACTGCCTGGTGATGACCATTCACTTTTTACTGGAGTGACGTTATCTGTTGAGGATATGGACAGTGTTGTTCTTGATGGGACAACAGTGCAGGTAGGTTTGATGTTAAAAGACTGATGTGATGTTAAAGGAGTGTCCATGCGATACCCCTGAGGTATGAATGTATTGAATCCAGTGATTAAATCAGGGTGACCTTCGAATAATTCACGTACCCGGTGAATAACAACCTCCGTCCCAATTCTGAAAAATATTTAAAGCCTGACAAACTTACGTTTGTGCTTTGAAGTCACGCATGACGTCAAGAAAATCCATATATATGGCGCCCTGACCAGAAAACCTTGCCTTGACCTGGTCTAGATAGGAGAGCGCATCCTCAACTTTGAGACACTTCATCATCGTTTACTACCACCTGTAGTAATAAAGTAGTGAAAATGATTACTAAAAGAGAAAAGTAACCACAAACAAAACGGCACACACACAAATTAACGTTAAGTAAAACGAGAATTACACATATCAGTTACGATGCTGATTAAGAGATGAGTTAATGGCTTCAAGAAAATGTATCCGAAAATAAAATGAAGCTAAGAACGATTACAAGCAGGATTCTTGTACAGTAATCGGCTACAGCAAAGTAATAGATATAACATCCAATCTTCATTACTCACCAGCCACGTTTGCAGTACAGTAGTGAAAGGAAATAATCAAGCAACTCAGCAGACACACATAGGCTTAAGTACCACTGTATGAGGACAAGTGATAAAATCTCTCTCCACACCACAACAGGGGATTCAAATTTGAACCCTTATTTTGAAAGTAGGCAGACAAGTCCTTAAACCGTGAAGAAACTTGGCTAATACAACTTTGTGGGGCAGTATACTTAATAGGTTGTCAAGAAACAATTTAGAAGTATACAAGGACTCTGCAAACGCTTGTCCCTAATCGTCAAACATCGACAAGACACATATCAGACAAGAAAATTCATCTGCTCTTTGTCAATTAACCAATAGCTTTATAAAATTGTGCCCAACCAAATGAAATTCACTTTACCACGAAAGTGTTAAGGATTAACTGCATTTGGGTTGGCTGTCACCTGTGTTGATAGAGTTGAGAAGGGTTACATGCCAATTCGTGCACATTCAATGTGATACAAGGTATCTTTGGTTTTTATCTTTCCCACTACCTGATGCAGTGATTAGTAATCTCGAAAAATCACTACATTTTTATCTAAAAAATAGTCCTATACCACAGATTTTGAAAAAGAATGTGACTTAAGTTTGATAAGCGTTCCATACACCGATAGCTGCCACCTTTAAGTGGTGGTCGGAGTTGCATATCACAATGCCCCCAATAAGCTATGCTGGCTAGAACGCTTGATCCTCAGGATTCTACTATGACAGAAACCCCTGTTGCACAAAAAGCAGTTACCAAAAAAAGTGTAGAAGGTCAGGTTGCGACTGAGATTCGATGGAAAAGTTGAGTTTCTAGTCGTACGGGATGTGAAGAGGCAAGGTATTCCTCACATTTGACAGTTTACGTTGATGCTGTCTTCCCAGAAAGAAGGGGATACAAAAAAGAGTCGACGTCTTGGGTACTTGCCAAATCACACTATTTCCGGATCCTGATTTACATCCGACCACCTTTCAAAGTATGTGTGCTGGTGAAATCACCGAGTGAGCAATGTCAAGATTAGGCGAAGACTACTAGGCCATGAAAGCAAGTCGATGAGTTTCTGATGATTTCTACATGCCGAGCCATTACTTATCACGACGTGCGATGTTAACCGAAGAAACGCTGCGTTCACAGTAGCACAAAGAACAGGTAGATCGAAAAAGACTCATATCAAAATAGGTCACTTAGTGTAGGAGAATAAACAATTTGAAGATAATGTCAAAGGAGTGAATACATCTGCACCATTATCACTGATCTCCTACCATGTCACTAAGAGTTCTCAACCACTGATTCCCTTAGTTTTAGGGACCCCAACCAGCCAGTCTGCATCCCCCAACATGGCTCAGGTCAACGGTCAGAAACTTCATCATCTGGTCATCCTGAACCCTCTTCCAACTTCCCCTAGCACGGCACGTCGACGCAGACGGTGGTTCACTCGACACAGTACATCTCTAAGCCACCTCAATCGATGAAGGTTCACAACCTCATCAATCGACTTGCCTGTCTTGCCTAGTACCCTTCGTCTGACTCCACCAAACGTGAACAATTCTATGAAGACAACCGTGATCAAAATTGTGTAATAGCTTCACGTCTTCTACTTTTAACGACCATATCAGCCGTACAATGGAACAGAACGGACTACAGCACAGTATACTCGTCCTCTGATCGATAGTCAGATATCTCACCAGTTAGCACCACAGGTGACGCAAGTTGGCAAATGCTTCTGTGGTCGAGCTAAGATTTCATCACCAACCAGTCTGTTCGGTAGGCTGGTGCAACACCCCAAGTAGGTGAAGTGGTCAACATACTCCGTCAATTCACTACTTATCACCAAAATCGGAGTAGATGCAGCAGACCAGTCATCTTACATTTGACAAATGTCAGGAAACCCCATGCCAAACACTCAGATTTATGCTCAACGCCTTCAGAAGACTGCACCTTTCAGTGTTCTTATCTAATAGGACAATGTCGTTTGCATACCCCAAGTCAACCTGATGACCTCCACAGAGTAGGTCAGTCCTAGTGAAGTCAGATGAACCTGAGCTAATGTCCATTTGTACGTCCACAATAAAGTTAAATAGGAACAGTGACAGCGGGCATCCCTCGTCGACACCACTAGTTGTCGTCAATCCACATAATAACTCCCTACGCACCAGTCCTTACACACCTGAGCGAGTTCCGGTGGAGAGCTTTGATAGGCGTTATATACTTTCTTGGTACTCCCTTCATAGCCAGATACTGCCAGAACATCTCACGGTCCACAGAGCCAAATGTCGCTTTCAGGTCAACAAATATTGCAAATGGTGGCCATTGGCTGATAACTATGCCAGTGTTCCACAGCCTGTCGGAGGGTGAAAATATGATCCGTGCACTCGCGTCCAGCTTTGTCTGAAAGCTACCTTGCTTTCACGAGTTTGCTGTTTTCAAGCTCCAGTTAAGCGTCCAATAACTACAGAGTCTAGGACCATAGACAATATTAGTCACACCAATCCCCCTATGGCTATCAAAAGAAACTTCTCCCTCCTTCTTATAGATGATCGCTGAGGTACAGCAGCCAGACAATAACACTTCTGAATCTCATACATTACCTAATACCTCTACCACCTTAATAAGTAATTTTCTGGCTACATCCTTGAGAACGTCAGGGCCCGCAGCTTGCTTTCCATCGTTTCATGTTCGACACAGCTTTCTCAACTTTGACGACAGTGGATCGAAAACCACCCTCGATTCAATTTCGGGTTGATTGTTGAGCAACTTGTAGCGGTGCTATGGACCAGTTGAACTCAACTTCAAAATGTTCTGTCCAACGTTCTAGCCGTCTGATCTGTGAGGTTACGAGAGCCCCATCCCTTTTCAGTGATGGCTCCACTCACCATCGTTTCCTCGTTGCTAGTATACCTAATAAACCTAAATAGTTGTCGAGTGTTACCCAACGTTGATGCCTTCTCCATCTCTCTAGCTCGCTTTCGCCACCCATCACTGCTCCTGATCGACCAAAAGACTATCGGTCAACTTACTTTTGAGTTGCTTTCTCTCTTCATCATGGTCAGAAACAGCCAACTAGAATCACTCTTTTCGCATCAATCAGTTCGGATGACGTCGGGAAACCCAATGACGTTTGCGAATCTTCATATGTAAATTACCAATTGTCATTGCCTGTTTCTACAGCAAACTTAATATCACGCCAGGTTTCCTCAGGATGAGTATTGTTGTCATGTTCGAATAAAGGCTCAACTAACTCCTCCCTAAATATGTACTTGGCGTCCTCATCAATAAGTCGATAATAGGCAGGATTTAGTATCATTTGCTTCCTGCCACCAGTAAGATGCAGACATACATAAGCCCGGAACAGAGCACGATCGGAATCCAAAGAGGCACTCTAGAAAGAGTGACTATCCTATACCGATCTTCTCCAACGATGGCTTATAGCAATGTGATCTGTTTCTGTCCATCACTGGTTTGACGTCGACGGACGCCACGTGAGACAGTGTCTCTCCTTATGCCTAAGGTTAGTGCTGACGAGAAACAAGTGATTATCAGAACAAAATTGCAACAGACGATCACCGTTGTCGGTTCGTTGGCATGGGATTCCGTAAATACTTCCAAAATGCCTTTCCGGTTGGATCAGCTTGAGCGCTAAAGTCACTTGCCATTATGACTACACTTGAACACTGCCTTCTGTAGCAAAGTTGACAGCGTCTCATAGAATTCACCCTCCGAATCATCCGAACTCCAGTCGGCGGGTACGTAGGCGGACATAACGAATAGGCATCGGTTGGTCTCACGAACCTTTCTAGTTCTTACAGATCCATTTGATCGAACAACACAGACGGCTGTTGACTGATATCCAGTCGAGAATCGCACTTTCTGCTCTACGACTCAACCATATGCTTACGTCAGAGAGTCCATGAGAGCCAGCCACTGGGTCGCTAGATACTCGTAAAGTGAATTTTGGAGTCATTACTATAGCCAGGTGAGGTCAATTTAATAACCACATTCGGGTCCTGTATACATGTGTCAGAGACACAACATACATCCATGGCTAGAGATTCCAGAGTTCTGGCGAGCGATGCTTGCTGTTTGACTTGACGTGGAGTTCGGACACTGAAAGCTCCGATGGCGAAGACTGAGAATGAGGTATCGATGGTTCTGATTGTTGACAATAGTTGCAAAAGGAGAGGTTCGGTGATGTGTAAACGGCCTAATATTATTAGTATCAAGAGGTGAAGGCAAAGGAGGAGATTGAGTTGAGGAGGATAGGTTATGTTGGATTGTGTTTTGTGTTAGTGGAAGCGTGTGGGTGGTTGACACTTCCGGGCTGCCCACACCGTTGCGGGGTATTTCTTCTTAAGGTACCTGAAAGAGAAAAATGTTTGTCCACAGAGCCCATGGGACATTTGCTTGAGGCCAGTCACACGCACTGTGTTTTTGGGGGATGTTTCGAGGTTTTATTTTTTTGCTGTCGAATCCGATTACGAATTTCCGTTGCAAGCATTGCGCCACCAGGGGGTGCTGGGTGTTTATTTGAGGGACCGACCTTTTCTAGCCCTTCTTTCACATTGCGAAGGCAATATCGGCACTACTCTGTCGGTCATTCAAAAGAAACACCTTACTGCTGTCACACACCATCTAGCTAGCAGCAGTACGACTGCACCCTCAGATCCCGAACACATTAGCAATTTACACAATGCCAGCTGCTTTCGTCTAACACCTACTCAACAGACCTC